TTTTACTTGCACGTGATTAACTTAAGAAAGCAGAACTTCCCATTTTAGGTATTAAGTTTTTTTCTTTTAACTCAATTTTAATAAAGCTAAGATTTATTTTTGAGTTAATTTTTAATTATTTTTGAGTTGATTAAAAGTTGGAGAATGCCAAACAAAACTAATAGTTTCTATAATCCTTTAAAAATATTTTTAATAAGGTAAAGGATTTACTTTAAGTTATAATAAGGTAAAATTTTTGTGTTACCTAATGGTATTTACTATAAACACAAAGATATTGTAGGTGTAAGAAACATCTTAATAGTATCCTCATTCTGAATTTGGAGAAAGACAAAATCAAGACAATGTTAAATTATATGTTATGATTATCCAAAGGTAAGAAATAGCTACTGGCAATATCAGTATCTTTAAAAGCACAGCAATAAGTGGCAGTGATTATTAGTAATGTTAACATTTTTCCAAAAGTAAGAAACTTAAAAAAATATTTTTTGAGTATGTTAAAAAGCACAAAGAATTAACAGAATATTTTTACAATTTAGGAAATGTTTTATCTGGGCACAGAATAACTTTGTTCTTTAATGGAAAATAAAATTCTGGTTTTATTCAATTTGCTTATTATTCATGAAAGAATTTGCATTAAAAGGATCTGTAAAAGCCTTGGTTATGATAAACCTTACATTTGACCAATTTTATAAAAAAATTTTACTTCTCCCTTGAAATTTATTTTTTTGTAGCTATAATAAACCCAACAAATAAAGTGTACTTATTCTCAGACCTTCTACCTGTATGTATACTATTGGATTCATCTTTCACTATATTCTTTCATATCTTGGCACAAACAGAAATTTCTCCCCCACTCCCAGCTTTATTGAGATATACCTCATATATAACATTGTGTAAGTTTAAGGAGTACAATGTGTTGATTTAATACACATTTTGAAAAATGATTACTACCGTAGCATTAGCTAACAGCATATTAATACAGACATTTATTTTAAAACAAAATTATTTTCTATATTCCTAGATAAGCAAAGACATAGCTGATACTATGCATTCACATTCCCCTGTCTTTCCAGATAGTTGAAAGGGTGTAAACCTTTCTTTTTTTTAAAAAAATATATATTTTATTGATTTTTTTTCAGAGAGGAAGGGAGAGGGATTGAGAGCTAGAAACATCAATGAGAGAGAAACATCGATCAGCTGGCTCTTGCACACCTCCCACTGGGGATATGCCTGCAACCAAAGTACATGACCTTTGCCTGAATTGAACCTAGGACCCTTCAGACCAATGATCTATCCACTGAGCCAAACCAGTCAGGGCCCTGAACTTGGTTTTTAATAACACTTCCATAAAGCTAGAAGTTGAACCACCAGACATAATTCACAAGTTAAAATTAATCTGTCCTTTTAAACTTATGGTTTATAGACTGTGACTATTAGATAACAAGAAATCTAAAATAGACTACATCGCCAATTTTAAAATGTCAAAAAAAATTTTGTTATAGTTGCTAATTCACCATAATATCATATAAACTTTATATCCAGCATAATCTGAAGTTAGTTGTTAACATTTCCAGATTAGAAAACACAACTAGACCTCCCATATCGGTTTTTTGTGTTTTTTTTTTAATAATAAAACTTTATTGTTTAGATTATTACAGATGTTCCTCTTTCCTGCCCCCCCCATAGCTCCCCTCCACCTGATGCCCCACCCCACCACACCCTATGCCCTTACCCCTGCCACTGTCTTCATCCATAGGTGTAAGATCTCTTCCAGCAGCCCGCAGACCTCCTTCCCCTGGAGAATTGTTAGTCCAATCCCTTTCTATGTCCCTGATTCTATTCTATTCACCAGTCCATTTTGTTCTTCAGATTTTTTATTCACTTAATTGTTGGTAGGTATGTATTTGATATCTTTTTGTTGTTCATAGTTTTTACCTTTACTTTTTTCTTTTTCTTTCTCTTCTTAAAGAATACCCTTCAGCATTTCATGTAATCCTAGTTTGGTGTTGATGAACTCCTTTAACTTTTTCTTGTCTGTGAATCTCTTTATCTGACCTTCAATTCTGAATGATAGCTTTGCTGGGTAGAGTATTCTTGGTTGTAGGTTCTTGTTGTTTATCATTTTGAATATTTCTTGCCACTCCCTTCTGGCCTGTATAGTTTCTGTTGAGAAATCAGCTGATACTCCCTTGTAGGTAATTAGCTGTTTTTCTCTTGCTGCTTGTAAGATTCTCTCTTTGTCTTTTGCCCTTGGCATTTTAATTATGATGTGTCTTGTGTCTCTTTGGATTCCTTTTGTTTGGGGTTCTGTGCATTTCCTGAACTTGTAAGTCTATTTCTTTCACCAGGTAGGGAAAGTTTTCTGTCATTATTTCTTCCAATAAGCCTTCAATATCCTGTTCGCTTTCTTCTTCTGGCACCTCAAAAATCCAGATGTTGGTACATTTTAAGCCGTCCCAGGGGCTCCTTACACTATCCTAACACTTTTGGATTCTTCTTTCTTTTTGCCTCTCTGGTTGGGTGATTTTTGCTTCCTTGTATTCCAGATCTTTGGTTTGATTCTTGGAGTACGTTGATCTATAGTTGAGTTTCTGTATCTTCTTTATTTCAGACATTGTATGCTTAATTTCTGACTGGTCTTTTTCTTTTTTTTTTTTTTTTTTGACATTCTCATTAAGGTCCTTGAAGGTCTCACAAAGCGTCTTAGAGGTCTCATCAAGTTTCTCAAAGGTTTTTAGAAGATTCTTGAGTAATCTTATAAATGTGATTCTGAACTCTGTGTCATCCAGTAGTTTACTTTCCTCCATATCTCCCATTCGTGACATGCTTCTGTGTCTCCTCATTTTGGTTGCCTCTCTGTGTTGATGGAGTAGCTTTGTGTGGTCAGTGACTTATAGGGGCCAGTAGCTCAGCTTCCCCAATCACCTGAGGTGGTCGCTCTTGATACATCCCTTTGTGGGCTGAGTGTAAAGTCTTGATGTAATTAAGCCTTGATTGCTGTTGGTACTCTGGGAGGAATTGACCTTCAGGCCAATTGACTGTGAGGACCTACTGTGTCTATGAAGGAAGAACTGCTTTGGAGAAACGCCTTGTTTCAGTGGGGCTTTGGTGCTCACTGAGTCTGTCTCCTGAATGTGTCACTTATGGGTGTGAGGGGTTGAAACTGACCACTAGGAACACTGGCTTCTGGATCCCCAATGAGGTGCAGTTCAGCTACTGTCTGAGGCCACCCTGCAGAAGCTACTGCGAGAACCACAGTCCTTTCCTCCCTGCTTGGAGCTGTCTGCACCAGTTTGCAAGTTTGCTAGGTTAAACTGCAATAGAGAAGGCCATTCATATGCAAAAGCCGCTGCTTGGAGTTTGGTGTATTTGTAGATTGTGTGGGGCGGAGTCTCAGGGCGGAGTCTCGGGGTGTCACTAGGCCAGGGCATGGCCAACAGCAATCTGTCTCTGCCTCTCTGACCGCATCCCTGTGTATCCTCACGTCTCGCACCACAGCGCAGCAAACAATTATTCTGTGTGCAGCTCCACAAGCTAGTCACCCTCACTTTCCTACCCGATGGCAGACAGTCTAGCTTCTCCCCAGAAACTGGATTTCAGAGAAATTGGGAGCTTGTCTCTCTTCGGGCTGAAGAAAGCAATGCCCCCCATCAGCCCGTATCATGTCCGCACCCCCGTACCTCAGTTTTTCAGCACTTGTGCCCTGAATTCTCCTCTTTTCTTTCAGTCTAGTTCTAGAGCGTCCTTTCAGCCAGGTTTCCCTTGTTTTGGGGTGATAGATGTTTTGTTTCTTAGTTGTAGTTTTGAAATTGTTGTGTGCGGCAGCAGTTTAGGTGTGTTGACCTACGCCACCATTTTCATTCCCCATATCTGTTCTTTTTATGATTAGAGTAGCAAGTTGTTCTCAGGAAGAGCTCCATTCTATTAGTAGTGTTCTTGTTACCATAAATATTTCAAGCAAGTACCTTTTAAACAATAAAATATACATCTATGATTCCCCTGATTAGGAATTGAAGTAAAACTTCTGGAACAAACTTCTGGTTTCCTTAGGTCAGTTTTTTGGAAGAAGTAAATGCCCTTTTAGTGTTGCGATTTCCTTTCCTTTCCTTTTTTTTTTTTTTTTTTTTTTTTTTTTAACCACTGTTTTATTTGTAACATCTTTTTCATAGATAAAAGATATTCACACCATCTATTCCCTTATTTCACTTTTAGCTTATTTACTGAATCCAATTCAAGTCTTGAATGTTTATATGAAAAAATTATACTTTATATACACATTTATCTTAAATGACTGACTTTAATTATTATTGCTTTTAGAGAGAAATATCAGACTGTTGTTCCACTTATTTATGCATTCATTGGTTGCTTATTGTATGTACCCTGGCCGGGACCGAACCCATAACCTTAGTGTATCAGGACAATGCTCTATCCAACTGAGCCTGGGCTCCCTAAATGAATGACTTTAACTGTGGCCTTTTTAAAAAATTAGATACAATCATTTATAATATATGGTATTTTGGAATTTTTTTCCGATGTAGTTCTGGTGGTATTGATGTGAAATCATCTCTCTCTCTAAAAGCCTAAGTGACCAGCTATCTGGCCAGTACCTATGACGTGCAGTGACCACTAGGGGGTAGACGCTCCAACCGGTAGCTATGATTCACACTGACCACCAAGGGGCAGCCACTCAAAGCAGGAACTGCTGAGCTGTGGTGACTTGGCAGCTGTGGTTCTCAGGTGATGCACCCGGAACCAGAGAGGAGGCAGCACGATTCTGGGGTGCATCACCCGAGATCTACCCTCTCACAATCCCTGACCCCCTGTGCCGGTTTGGGCCCGATCCCGACAGGCCAGGCCAAGGGACCCCCACCGGTGCATGAATACGGGCACCAGGCCTGTAGTGATGATATATTATGCTTAATTTGTTACATTAAAGAAATGTGTTCATGATTTTGCCTTATACATTTAAGTATTTTAAATTACTTTTTCTCTTTCTCTAGCTGTTCCATTCCCTCCAACCCATAGGCTTACTTTGAAGGAAGTCTTTGTGAATGGGAAACCTAATGGTGAAGTCTTAAAAAACCATTTTGTGAAGGAAGGGCGAGTGGAAGAGGACGTAGCCTTAAAGATAATCAATGATGGGTCTGCCATCCTGAGAAATGAGAAGACCATGATAGAAGTAGAAGCTCCAATCACGGGTATGAGAAGAATTTGCATGGTTGTGCTTAGGTTTGAGCTAATTCAAGAAAAGATCACAAATAACCAACTAAAATTTTTCTAGAAATTATGAGAACATTTTAGGATTTTTTAGTATGTTTTCTTTTTACTGAAGAAATACAATTTAAAATGTCTGTTATTTCCAGTAGGACTATTCAGTGTTGATAGATTGACTACAGTTTTAGAGCAGTCCAGTCTAAAGCAAAAGTGATTTGAAAGTTAAACTGTGATTCCTATTGGTGTAATGTCCTTTCTTTTCTTTTTTAAATATGTTTTATTGATTCCAGAGAGGAAGGGAGAGAAGTAAGAGATAGAAATATCAGTAATGATGCCAAAATCGGTTTGGCTCAGCGGTAGAGCGTCCATCTGCGGACTGAAAGGTCCCAGGTTCGATTCCGGTCAAGGGCATGTACATTGGTTGCGGGCATATCCCCGGTAGGGGGTGTGCAAGAGGCAGCTGGTCGGTGTTTCTCTCTCATCGACGTTTCTAGCTCTCTATCTCTCTCCCTTCCTCTCTGTAAAAAATTCAATAAAATATATTTAAATATATATATATATATATATAATTAATGAGAGAATCATCAGTTGGCTGCCTCCTTCATGGCCTCACTGAGGAATGAGCCCGAAACCCAGGCATGTGCCCTGACTTGGAATCAAACCATGACCTCCTGGTTCATATATCTACACTCAACCACTGAGCCATGCCACCTGGGCACCTTCTCTTTTCTAAGTTTTTTATCTCAATGTGTTGTTGTTTTTTTTCTAGTGTGTGGTGACATTCATGGACAATTCTTTGACCTGATGAAGTTGTTTGAAGTTGGAGGATCACCTACTAACACACGCTACCTCTTTCTGGGTGACTATGTGGACAGAGGCTATTTCAGTATAGAGGTAAAAATTAAACTGGATGTGTTGGAGTTATCATATTGTGTGTGTGTTTTTAATTTTGTTTTCCATTCTTTAGTAAAAAAAAAAAAATCAAATGAGAACATCGGCAGAATTTATAAACTTTGTTACTTTCTGTCATTAAAGTGAGAGAGAAATATTTTATATAAAAGTTCTTTTTCTTTTTTTTTACCTAGTAGAAAATCTAACAAATAGAAGGCTATATTAACCCAGCTTTGTAAGTAAGTTAAATGATTACTTAACCTTTTCTCTTTGAAGATAGTGTATAGGCTGTATATAAATGACATAAATTGCTATTCACCTTACATGTGGCTTGAATTAACTGACCTTAATTACAAGATCATGAGTTGCTGGGCTACAGTTAAATCTTAGATTAGCTGCCAATGATAAATAAGCAGGTGCTTAGCTTATTAAAGGAATAATTTCTGATGCTATTACATATAGTAAGCACTTAATAAATGTTCATTGAAGGAAAATGATTAATTAATGAAATTAACTTAAAACCTTATCATTTACTTTTATATATTTTAAAAATTGAATGATGAGAGGAAAAAGGTTACAATTAAAACAAACTAAGTTTTTCTGTATAAGAGAAAATTGTTTAAAACCTAATGCAAGGGCTTGAGTACAATGGAACCACAACATATTCATGTTTAATGGCCATTTATTAAGCTGTACATACTTGGCAAATAAGTAATTTTGAAATAGTGTGGGTGATTGAATTTATAATGTTCTTGGAATAAGCATGAGATGAGGAAATTGAGTCTGCTTGCTATTCTTGTAGTATTTAGTTTTGCCTCTCCCTCAGACTGTGAGAATCTCACTGTACTAAGTATGTTTCTGGTGGTTAAAGATTTATTGTTCTTGCAGCATCACTTATAAATACAACTCAGCTACCTCACCTGGTGCTCACCCATAGAAGCAGCAGTTGTTGTAAAACTGCCTGAAAAATAAATGACCAAAGAAACAGACCTTTCTCTTCAGTTAGATAGGCAGTCTAAACTCATGAATCCGAAAAGTTCATGTTATCTGCCAGTGCCTCATATTCATTTACTGTCATCTATGAAGACAAAGGTTAATGATAGATTCTAAGAAAATATGCATATTTTTCCTACTGCCCAATAAATTCTTAGTCTTTAAATAGGTACCTGGGATGGGAAGAGGTCATACTTGTAAACTATATTATTGAACAGCTTTCCTATTCTTATTTCCTATTCATATTGTATAGACAGTGAGCCAAAAGTATGGATGTTTGAAAGTCACATTGAATATTTACTTCTTTGTGTGTTTGCTAGCATTAGGTGTTAGAGGCTGAAGAGAAGAATACAGAGCTTAATTAAGTTTTAATTAGTCATTTAATGAAACAACTTTTTAAAATTCTTATCCAATGATATGTGGATTGATTTTAGAGAGAGAGAAAGAGAAAGAGAAGGAAACACCAGTGTGAGAGAAAAACATTAGTTGGTCCTATAGGTGCCCCGACCTGCAAACTTTTTAGTGTATGGGATGATGCTCCAACTAGCTGAGCATCCGGCTGGGCTGAAACAACTTTTTAAAAATATAAATATTGTGCCAAATTATCTTCCAAATTAACTCACATACTTAAAAAAGTTTTAGGCTATCAGTGTATTCAAGAAAGCATATATAAAAATTCACAATGATTTTTATACAGTACTAGAGGCCCTGTGCACAAAATTCATGCACTTGGGTTGGGGCCGGGGGTTCCTCAACCCAGCCTGTACCCTCTCACAGTAAAAAAGCCCCATGATCCATTGTCCCAAAGAGATAGGTCCTGCTCACCTGGCTGGGGCTCTGCGATGGATTGCCCCTGCAGAGGCCCTGACCACCCACCACAGTGTAGTTGCTGGGTAGCCTGGGCCTCTCTCTTTGGGGCGATCATGGAGACCCCCTGGCCGATCATCCGCTGGCTGGTGGCCTGGGCCTTCCTCTGCAGGGTGATCACGGGGTAATGGCTAGGCCCCCGACCAGTTGCATCACACCTGCCTTGGCTGGCCTGGCACCAGTGGGTGTTATAGCTTGGCCATCCAGAAGGTCGTCTGGATGGTCATTCTGCTGTTTGGTCATTCAGTCGATTTGCATATTACACTTTAAAATATATATATATATATTGATTTTTTACAGAGAGGAAGGGAGAGAGAGAGTTAGAAACATCGATCAGAGAGAAACATCAATCAGTTGCCTCCTGCACACCCCCTGCTGGGGATGTGCCTGCAACCAAGGTACATGCCCTTCTTTTTTTTTCTTTTAATATATTTTATTAATTTTTTACAGAGAGAAAGGGAGAGGGAGGGACAGAGAGTTAGAAACATCGATGAAGGAGAAACATTGATCAGCTGTCTCCTGCACACTCCCTACTGGGTATGTGCCCGCAACCAAGGTATATGCTCCTAACCAAAATCAAACCAGGGACCCTTCAGTTCGCAGGCCAATGCTCTATCCTCTGAGCTAAACCGGTTAGGGCTGCATATTATACTTTTATTACTATAGATTATTATAGATAGTAGTATTTAGAATATTTTATTACATTTTAAAAAAATATTTTAAGTATTTTTATTGCTTTTAGAGAAGAAGGAAAAGAGAGAGAGAGAGAGAAACATCAATGATGAGAATCATCGATTGGCTAACTCTGACACAGCCCCCACTGGGATCGAGCCCACAACCTTGGCATGTGCCCTTGACCAGAATTGAACCTAGGACTCTGCAGTCTGAAGACCAACACTCTATCCACTGAGCCAAGCTGGCTAGGGCTTGTTACATATTGTTTTCCTCACTCATCAACAAATGTTTCTTGAATACCAACTTTATTTATTTACTTATTTATTTATGTTTTAATCTTTATTCTTGAGCGTATTATAGATAACCCCCCCTTTTCCTCCTTGCTCCACACCACCTGGTTCCTGCCCTGCCCCAGGCCTTCACCACCCTATCTATTCTCTGTGTTCATGGGCAGTGCATATATGCCTATAAGTTATTTGGTTAATCTTTTCGTGCACCCTCTTCCCTGTGTGATTTTTAAAAAAATAATATGTTTTATTGATTTTTTACAGAGAGGAAGGAAGAGAGATAGAGAGTTAGAAACATCAATCAGCTGCCTCCTGCATGCCCCCTACTTGGGATGTGCTTGCAACCAAGGTACATGCCTTTTACTGGAATCAAACCTGGGACCCTTCAGTCTGATGCTCTATCCACTGAGCCAAACCAGTTAGGGCCCCTGTGTGATTTTGAGTATCAACTTTGTGGCAGGCTCTAAGGATAAAACAGTAAGATTCATACTGTCTGTGGGAGCCGTCAGTATAATAGAAAATATATACTTATGGATAAATCTTTCATTATAAAATAAAAATATGTATTTAATTATCAGCAGTATTTTTTTAAAATATATTTTTGTTGATTTCAGAGAAGAAGAGAGAGGGAGAGAAATATCAATGATAAGAGAGAATCATTGATTGGCTGCCTTCTGTACACCCCCTATTGATGATGGAGCCCAAAACCTAGCCATGTGCCCTGACGGGGAATGGATTCATGACCTCCTGTTGCATGGGTCGACCTCAACCACTGAGCCACTAGCTGAGCAGGGCAGCAGTATTCTTCATATTGGGACCTTATGTAATGTCTGACATACAGTAGACACTCAATTTTACCATTCCTCTATTGTTGGATAATTAGGTTTATAGCAGGTCCTGCTTATTGCCTGCCTCTTTCTCTTTCCTTACTGTCAGAATTCCTATTTTGTTCAGATAAATGAAATGGAGGGTTCAGGGAGAACATTTGATTTCAGAAAGGGAAGGCCCTTATCCAAGTCCCAGGGAATGAATTTATGTTGGTTTGAACTAGTCCTAACAGTCCATTCCCTGTCATAAGTGGATTGGTCTAGGGATAAACATGGAATCCAGTTTTACGCCATAATATACACTGAGTGGCCAGATTATTATGATCTCTGAACGCATAGTAATATGGCCACTCAGTGTATATCCTATATAAATAAAAGGCTAGTATGCAAACTGTCCCCTCGACCAGGGATATGACCAGCAGGCAGGCCGGCCAACCACCCATGTTCCCTCCCCCTGGCCAAGCTGGCCAGACCCCACCCATGCACGAATTCATGCACCAGGTCTCTGACACACACACACACACACACACACACACACACACACACACTCTCTCTGAGTGCCAGATTATTACATGTTCAGAGATCATAATAATCTGGCCCCTCAGTGTATTAAATAAGGCGTCTTTACTCAGAAACACACATAAAACAGAGTTATTGATCAGTTGATGAAAATGTTGGGAGCAGAGGACCCTAATTCTGTATTTTCCCCGGGAGCAGTATTGACCAATTTAATTTTTGCAGTAACTTTACAGAACATAGGCAAAAAGAATAAAAAGAATCCCTGTACTTGCAAATGTGTAAAATGCCTGTAACGAAGTTATTCGTTGTTCATTTTTTATGAGAAAAGATTTAAAACAACCTGAATGTTCAGTAGGAAACGAGTTAAATAAATTGTAGTACATTCAGACAATGGAATGTACCAGATAATAAAGTGAGGCTGTTTTTTAAAAATGGAAAAAGAGCCCTGGCCAGTTTGGCTCAGTGGATGGAGTATTGGCCTGTGGACTGAGGGAGTCCCAGGTTTGATTTCGGTCAAGGGCATGTCTGGCTTGCAGGCTCAATCCCCAGTGAGGTCATGCAGGAGGCAGCGGATCAATGATCAGTAATTCTCTATCATTGTTGATGTTTCTTTTTTCTTTTTGTTCATCATTGTCTATCCCTCTCCCTTCCTCTCTGAAATCAATAAAAATAAATTAAAAAAAAAATAAAAAAAGAAAACAACCCTCTGTAAACTGGTATGGAATAATCACTAAAGTGAAAAAAGATAAATGCAGAGCTCTGCTTACTATCTGGTAATATTTCTAGAAGTTGGGGTGATATGCGTATTCATGTCTGTGGGGTAATTGAAGTTGTTAGAGTGTCTGTGAAAGTGCACCCAGGGAAGCCAGGGGCAGGAGCTGCTTTTCTCTTCCAGGGCAGCTGACAGGGAAATAGGGAGTAGAGAGGATATTTTTGGAGTTGGTATTTTGTTATGATTCTAACTAATGTAATTTGATTAGAGAACAAGATATGAATAATATGCATTCTTTGGAATTTATTGACTCCCTTTGTGATGGAGAACATGGTAGATTTTTATGGCTATCCCATATGTTATTAAAAAAATGCATTCTCTGTCTGTTGAACTGTTCTTTATAACTTTGATTCTTTTTGTCTGCTTAGACTATGAGTTACTTTTGGGTTTCTGTCAAAATCTCCAACTACAGTTGTTGATTTATCTGTTTCTCACCATAGTCCTATCAATTGTTGCTTGTATTTTGGGGCCGTATGTGTGTATTTCATGGTTAGCATATACTATGAATCTTCATAATTCATGAGTTCTGTATTTGTATATATATCTCCTTGCTAAAATTTACTTGTAATCCCAAAATCAATAGATATAATACTTTTTGAGGTTCTAGGTCCTCTCAGCAGAAGGAGCTAGGAAATATACACACATATATTTATATTTTATTTATTTCGTTACCTATCCATGTTATCTTAAAAAGCATAAATTCATATGATACCTCTGATTCCAATCCATCACAAAGTGGTTTGGAATCATCATTTTAGCCTTCCCTCTTTCCTGGCTCTCAATATAGTCACTTATCTGCTCCATCCCAGTATACCCAAATAATGGGTACATAATAGTCAACTCATACTGTGAAAAACTAGAGTTACATTATTTGTGTGTATTTTTCTTTGTGTCTTTAGCCTTGTAGTATGCAATAGCATGCTGTTTTCCAAAATTACTTTGGTTAGTTCCCTCCTCCTCCTCTTCTTTGTTGCTTTGTTATCCACTTATAATACAGTTAAGTTCATTTGTTACTGTTTATACTCCATTTTGGTTGATTCATTTACTTATTTTGGGAGGCATATGTAAATCATTACAGTACTGAGGTTCTGGAGTTTAAAGCTGTCCAAGGGGAACAAAAATTGAGAGATTTCTATGAAGGCTATATTCTATGCTCTGTCACATTCTAGGGCAGTGGTCAGCAAACTCATTAGTCAACAGAGCCAAATATCAACAGTACAATGATTGAAATTTCTTTTGAGAGACAAATTTTTTGAACTTAAACTTTTTCTAATGCCACTTCTTCAAAATAGACTCGCCCAAGCCATCGTATTTTGTGGAAGAGCCACACTCAAGGGGCCAAAGAGCCGCATGTAGCTCGTGAGCCACAGTTTGCCCACCACGGTTCTAGGGCAATGGCATATTATATTCACTAACTGAAGGTTTCATGTTTCAACTTGGTAATAGTAGTAAGATATGCCATTACAAGTCATTTGAATTTATGTAAGTTACTGGTATCTGTGTATTTTCATGATCACAAATAAAAATTTTATGCTTGTATTTGTCTTGTAGTGTGTACTGTATTTATGGAGTTTAAAGATTAATCATCCCAAAACATTATTTCTGCTTCGGGGAAATCATGAATGCAGGCATCTTACCGAATATTTCACCTTCAGACAGGAATGTAAGTATAATCGCTTCTCCAGAACTGTTGTAGTTATCCTTTATCTAGTCCTAAAATGAATCAAACATAATGAAACTAATGGAGTTCAGGTGTTTCCTATTTTGTTTTGTTTTCTGGTAAAACCCAAAATTCCACCTTTTAACACATTTATTTTGAAAATAACTTTTGGATTTATTTCTATTTTAAAATATATGTATTTTATTTATTTTTTTACAGAGAGGAAGAGAGGGATAGTTAGAAACATCGATGAGAGAGAATCATTGATCAGCTGCCTCCTGCACACCCCCTATTGGTGATGTGCCCGCAACCAAGGTACATGCCCTTGACCGGAATCGAACCTGGGACCTTTCAGTCCGTAGGCTGACGCTCTATCCACTGAGCCAAACCAATTTCGGCTTATTTCTATTTTTATAAAATATTACATTTGAGCCGAAACCGATTTGGCTCAGTGGATAGAGTGTTGGCCTACAGATGAAAGGTCCCAGGTTCAATTCCTGTTAAGGGCATGTACCTTGGTTGCGGCACATCCCCAGTCAGAGGTGTGCAGGAGGCAGATGATTGATGTTTCTCTCTCATCGATGTTTCTAACTCTCTATCTCTCTCTTCCTCTCTGTAAAAACTCAATAAAATATATTTTAAAAATATTACATTTGATATATTTGGAAAACAGAAAAGTCTAAAAAAGATAAAAATTATCCACAGTCATACCAATGAAAGATAATCACCACTCTCTCAATATTTGGGATTTAATCTTCTATTCTTTTCTATATACATAAAAACCTATCAAGAAATAGTTGAAAATATTTTAAAAATAAAATTTGGCTCATATAGACTGCTTAATAAACTTCTCTTTTCACTTTATGTAATAGTATTTTTCCATATTATCAAATATTTTAATGTGACTTTAAAATGTTATTTTATTGTTTTTAAAGTATTTCATTTTATGAATTTATTATCATGTATCCGTGTTTCCCCAAAAATAAGACATCCTCCAAAAATAAGACCTAGTGCATGGAAAGATAAGACATCCCCTGAAAATAAGACCTAGCACAACTTTGGGAGAAAAAATTAATATAAGACACTGTCTTATTTTCGGGGAAACAGGGTATTTAGCCAATTTAATCTCATCATTTTACTCTCATACCCTGCTTATTTTCCATCTACCAACAGCTGAAATTTTTATGTATTTTATATATAAATTTTATGTTTTTTAACATATTTACTCGTTTATTGTCTTTATCTCTCACCAGAATTTAAGCTTCATGATGGTAGTGACATGCTGTGTTCACTGTTGTTTTCTGAGAAACAGTAATAACTCATAGAAGATGCTTACTAAATATTGGTTGAATTAATTTGTTGAATAGAATGATCATTTAGGACATACTCTCAGAAGAGAATTACTAAGTCAAATGCCATGAACATTTTTATTTTATTTATTTATATTTTATTTTATGTTTGCTATTGATTGCTAATCCTCACCCGGGGATATTTTTCCATTGATTTTTAGGGAGAGGGAAAGAGAAGAACATTGATGTGAGAGAAACACATTGATTGGTTGCCTCCTGCATGAGCTCTGACCAGGGCCCAGGCCAGGAAGGAGCCTACAACAAGGTATGTGCCTTTGACCAGAATTGAACCCAGGACCTTTGGTCTGCAGGCTGATTCTCTATCCACTGAGCAAAACTGGCTACGGCTTTATTTTTATATTTTAAATCCTCACCCAGTAATATGTTTGTTTGTTGTTGTTGTTTTTTTAATATATTTTATTGATTTTTTACAGAGAGGAAGGGAGATAGAGAGCTAGAAACGTCTATGAAAGAGAAACATCGACCAGCTGCCTCTTGCACGCCCCCTACTGGGGATGTGCCCGCAACCAATGTACATGCCCTTGACCGGAATCGAACCCGGGACCCTTCAGTCCGCAGACCAACGCTCTACCACTGCGCCAAATCGGCTTTAGCTGTTTGTTTCTTTTTATTTTAGAGAGAGAGAAAGGGAAGAGAGAGAGAGAGAGAGAGAGAGAGAAGTACATCAATGAGAGAAAGAAACATCAATGGTTGCTTCCTACATCAACTGGGGATGGAACTCACAACTTTTTTGGTGCACAGTACAACATTCCAACTAACTGAGAGTCACCTGGCCAGGGCAGAGGGCATGAGCATTTTATACAGTGAAACAAAAATATTTAAATTTTAAAAAACAAAATAATATTATACCTTTTTTATTTTTTTTATTTCTTTTATTTTTTTATTAAATTATTATCTGTGTACATTTTTTACATTGCCCCCCTCCCCATACATACCCACCCACCCCAGAGTTTTGTGTCCATTGGTTGTACTTATATGCATTTATACAAGTCCTTAGGCTGATCTCTTATCTCCCCCAGATCTCCCTCCCCTCCCCACTGTAATTTGACAGTCTGCTTGTTGCTTTACTGTCTCTATATCTGTCTTTGGTTCATCAATTTATAATGTTCTTTATTATTCATAAATGAGTGAGGTCATGTCGTGTTTCTCTGTCATTGACTGGCTTATTTCACTCAGCATGATGTTCTCCAATTCCATCCAGGTTGCTGCAAATGATGAGAATTCCTTCTTTTTTATGGCAGCATAGTATTCTATTGTGTAGATATACCATAGTTTTTTGGATCCAATCATCTGCTGATGGGCACCTAGGCTGTTTCTAAATCCTAACTATTGTAGATTGTGCTGCTATGAACATAGGGGTACATATATCCTTTCTGATTGGTGTTTCTAGTTTCTTGGGATATAATCCTAGGAGTGAGATTACTGGGTCAAATGGGAGTTCCATTTTCAGTTTTTTGAGGAAACTCTATGCTGTTCTCCACAGTGGTTGCACCAGTCTGCATTCCCACCAGCAGTGCACAAGGGTTCCTTTTTCTCCACAACCTCGCCAACACTTGTCGTTTGTTGATTTGTTGATGTTGGCCATTCTGACAGGTGTGAGATGGTACCGCATTGTTGTTTTGATTTGCATCTCTCATACCTTTTTTATTTCTAAAATATTAGAATGTTTTCTATAAAAACAAGGAAGGTAAATTAAATCTCTTGGGTCCTGTCTGGCTCTAAAATCTACCTCTCCTAAATATTCCTGAACATATAATATTACTTTGGTGTTCGTATAATTGATAATTTGATTATAGATTTCACTTAGTGTCCTGTTCATATTTTTCTTCAGATTACTGTTTTGGGGGAACATGTTATAAAATATTTAAAGCTTTATTCCCAGAAGAATATTTAACACTGAAAAGACTTTTAAATTTGTTCTCTGAGACAAGAGTTTATTCACCTTTCCACCCCCCATAAAAATATCTTTGCTTACAAATGAATTACATTTTGGTAGTGTCCATATGTTCATCTTAACTTTGGTTGCCAAAAACTTCCTATTTTGGAGTAACTGTAGTTGTAATGGCAGTTCTTCCTCTTAGTAGAACCAAAAAGGAAAGATAGTTGTTATAAGAAATGTTAGAGTACGAACACTTAAAAAAAAAATCCCTCTGACAGAAAAGTCAGCTACAGATGGGTGAGATACAGTACAGATCACTCCATCCTTTTGGATTTATTGGAATAAACACGATAAATCAGTAGATAATCAGAGTTAAAAACAGTGGATCTGTGGTGAGTTTTGTTTAAATTAATGTATTTGAAGAGCAATTTTGGAATATCTGTAAAGATTTTGATCCAGCCGAAACCGGTTTGGCTCAGTGGATGGAGCATCGGCCTGGGGACTAAAAGGTCCCGGGTTCGATTCTGGTCAAGGGCATATACCTTGGTTGTGGACACATCCCTAGTAGGGGGTGTGAAGAGGCAGCTGCTTGATGATTCTCTCTCATTGATGTTTCTAACTCTCTATCTCTCTCTCTTCCTCTCTGTAAAAAATCAATAAAATAAAATAAATTGTAAAAAAAAGATTTTGATCCAGCAGTTTGACTTCTACAAATTTATTGTGCAGATTATATTTTGTGTGTTTTTAATGCTGCATAACAGCATTAAAATTTGCATAATAAATTACCCCAAATGTATCTGTTTAAGACAGCACACTTATTACTTCAGTATGTTGAGGAGGCCAGGCACAGTATGGTGGAATCCTCTGCTCAGGGTCTCAGTGAGCCAAAATCAAGGTGTTGCCAGGGCTGCAGTTTTCATCTGGAGCTTGGGGTCTTTTTCCAAGTTCACTAGCCCAATTGCTGTGACTGTAGGATAAAGGTTCCCTTTTTCCTACTAGCTTTTGGCCAGAGACTGCCTTCAGCTTCCAGTGACTGTTTACTGTTCCTAGCATGTGGCTTCACAATGCGACATACTTTCTTCCAGGCTGCCTGAGTGTGTCTCTCTGTCTTCCTCTTCTGTGATTAGCCAGCTGAAGAAAGCCCTCTGTTTTTCAAACACCCACCTGATTAGGCCAGGCCTATGTAAGGAAATATCATCATGGGAGTTTCAACATATCACCGGGTCCACCCACTCACAGGGGCACAGATTATACAAAGGTGTAGGTCATTGCAGGCCATTTTAGAAATATCTACCACACTGTCTACTCAAAGAGACAATAAGATATGGAGTTAGCCGAAACCGGTTTGGCTCAGTGGATAGAGTGTCAGCCTGCAGACTGAAAGGTCCCAGGTTCGATTCCGGTCAAGGGGATGTACCTTGGTTGTGGGCACATTCCCAGTGGGGGGGTTGCAGGAGGCAGCTGATCAATGTTTCTCTCTCATTGATGTTTCTAACTCTCTATCCCTCTCCCTTCCTCTCTGTAAAAAATCAATAAAATATATTTTTTAAAAAGATATGGATTATATGGATGTTCATTGTAATAACAAAGAGATAATGTCAATAAGGGCCTGCTTAAATAAGTGATAATATATCTAAAAAATGGAATATGAGGCAGCTGTTGAAAGATCAAGGTGGCTCTAGATACAAAGAGATGTTCAGGTATATTGTTAAGTGACAGAAAGCATTTGCAGAACATGTATAGTGTGATCTCCTTTGTCAATTAAATATATAATGTACAGAAGAAATTGGTTACAGTGATTACCTGTGGGGAGGTAAGTTAGGAGGACTTACACTGCTTAAATTATCTTTCATCACCAACATGCACTTCTATAATACATGTTTTTAATTGGTCAAGGCACATGCTTGGGTTACAGACTGGAACTCCCATGGCAGATGTACAGGAGGCAGCCAATTGGTGATTCTCTCTCATCATTGATGTTTCTTTCTCTCTCCCTCTCCCTTTCTCTCTGAAATCAATAAAAATATATACTTTTTAATATTTATCATCCTATCTAACAAAGAGGGAATATGCTAATTGACCCTTATGCTATCACAAAGATGGTGGCACCCACAGCCAATAAGGAGGGAATGTGCTAATTGGCTCTCCCACCCTCAAAGATGGCAGCGCCCACAGCCAATAAGGAAGGAATATGATAATAGACTGCCCCGCTCTCAAAGATGGCGGTGCTCAGTCCCCTCAGCCCCAACAGGGTGGCAAGTGCACAGCAAGGCAGGCCCAGCCACTCCACACACCTTCCTCCAGAGTTCCCTAGTCCCCTCAGCCCTCCAGCTTCCCAGGGCTGCCCAAAGCACAGGTAATCAAGGTCGGTCGAGGCTTGTGCTGCCAGCAGTGGCAGCAGCAGAGGTGTGATGAGGCATTGCCTTCCCCTGATCACCAGGTCACCTTCTGTCCCTGAGGGCTCATGGACTATGAGAGGGGGCAGACCGGGCTGAGAGACCCACCCCTCCAGTGCATGAATATAAAGTCATAACCAGGCTTCTAATTGTTCATAATAGCATTACTTATAGTACCCTGTTTCCCAGAAAATAAGACAGTGTTTTATATTAATTTTTTCTCCCAAAGTTGCTCTAGGTCTTATTTTCAGGGGATGTCATATCTTTCCATGTGCGAGGTCTTATTTTCGGAGGATGTCTTATTTTCAGGGAAACACGAGTAGCAAGAGAGTTGTGGTGTATTAAGTTGTGGTGTATTCATAAAGTGAAATACTGTGTACACATTTAAAAAAATAATTACAAAGCTCTTTGTGCAAAAATATGACATGATCTCCAAAATATGTCAGGTACAAAAAGCAAGTGCAAAACTGTGTATATGCTGCTATTTATGTAAAAAACAAAAGGATAGCAGAAACCGGTTTGTCTCAGTGGACAGAATGTCAGCCTGCGGACTGAAGGGTCCTGGGTTTGATTCCGGTCAAGGGCATGTACCTTGGTTGTGGGCATATCCCCAGTGGAGAGTGTGCAAAAAGCAGCTGATTGATGTTTTTCTCTCATCGATGTTTCTAACTCTCTATCTCTCCCTTCTTCTCTGTAAAAAATCAATAAAATATATATTTTAAAAAAGGATAATGTAGGAGGAGAATAAATATTTATATCTGCATATGTATACATAAACTATTTTTGTAAAGACACCAGGAAACTAGTTATACTGAAGAGAAGGAGTAAGAGGCACTGTGTATCCTTCTATAGCTTTTAAATTTTAAGCCACGTAAATGTATTACCTTTTTAAAAATAGTAAAAACAAATAAAATTAAAACAAATATATAACCAATGGCTAATCCAGGTTGTAATTTTTTGCAAATAGCGATAACCTTCAAAATTATTTTTAAAGAATGTTGTTGAAAATTTTGTTTTGTTAATGTACAATATTACTGATACTAGTTAGAATTTGTATCAGTGTGATCTTATGAGTGATGTGCATTTTTTCTTCATTATAGAAATAACTAGAGTCCTTGTGCACTGATTCGTGCACTGGTGGGTTCCCTCAGCCTGGCCTGTGAGGCAGTCCAACGTCCTCCAAGAGGTCCAGGATTGCGAGGGGGTGCAGGCTAGGCCGAGGGACCCCAGGGGCGCATGAATCTGTGCACCAGGCCTCTAGTATGCATATAAGATCTTTGGTTAATCTCTTCCTGCCCTCCCCTCTCCCTGTGAGATTCATCAGTCTGTTCCATGTTTCCATGCCTGTGGTTTCTGCTCCTGTGTTGAGCGTCTGCCCCCTGGGGGTCAGTGCACATCATAGCTACTGGCCAGTCAGCTGGTCACTTAGGCTTTTATATATATAGATCGTTTTATGGGATGGATCTTAACATTTGTCATGAAAATGAAGCCCTTGAATAAGCTAATTTAACATTTTGGAATTATATATTTGATCCGTTAGAGTCTCCCATTAAATATTTAATTAAAAAATAATGTTAAGAGCATGAACAGGTTTGTGTTTCAGTTCTGCCACTTAGTAGCTTGCAACTTTGGGCAAATAAGCCAAGTTCTTCAGCTTTTAGTTGGTCCGAAGGTTGTGGGTTATTGTTAAGCTGAAATACCAAAATTTATAGATTATAAATATAAAGCAGGATATAAGGATGTAATTGTAAGGAGATACAAAGAAGCATAAGGCATGGCTCTTGTCAACTTGGATGCTATAATAGAATCAGCATATGTTGTGATATATCAATAGATGATCTTAACTGTTGTCATGATAATATAGAATACTATGAAAGTTTTTAAATTTATAGTCCTCACACCCTGATCACCCTATATCAGCATTTTAAAAAAAATTCATATTCACGGATGGAAAGCCTTATAACCTCAAAGTGGCCCCCTGGTTACACATTCCTTTAAAGAATCTCTCTCCAGTTATTCCTCCACCCATGTATAGCACTGGCCCAAATCTGGACCCATTACCCTTCATTTTTCCCCCCAAAGCCTTGCCAAAACTAGGCTCTGATTACTTAAATATGTCTTTTCTAAAAGCTTGGCGATTCCAAGAAGAAAATAAACAGAAATAATTACCAACTAGGTAATCTGAATCACTTGCTATAGCTTTATTTTCTTAGCCTTGTAGGCTCTGTCTCATTTTCACAGAATCTTGGAAGAATATAAGGAGTTCACAGTTCTGGAGGGCTGCTGTTTACAACTTCTGGCTTTCTCTATCAATGTGCATCTCCAATCACAGCTTGACCTTTTGAAATGCAACGCATGGAAGAAGAAAACATTCTCTTTTTAAACTAAAGGAATTTTTCAGCTATCACTTCACAAGCTATTCTTTCTCTATGACTGTGGAGATCTTACTGGAGATATTTCCTTAACATAACAACCACATCAAAATATAATTCAGTAAGATGAACATTTTTGCCTAAAATAGAATCAGGGCATAATTTGCTTAAAGGCCTTAAAAGTCATGAACAAAAAGATGGTTGACATTTTAGTGATGACTTTGAAAACTCCTGCTTTCATTTATATATGTTTAGCATCCCAGGGAGTCTCTTTAGAACTGCAAAATATTCATGTTCATAAAATTACCACAGACCTTACTTGCTCTCCATCTACTTAGAAGGAGACTGCCCAGGAAGGGTAGCACCAGGCCCCCCTTTTCACTGGCATTGTCCTCAGAGGAACACATACACCAGAGATTTGCTGCCTCACCTCCCTTTCATTCATCCCCTCCAAGTCACAGTTTAGGTACAAGGAAACAGTATCCACATAGGGCACATTAGGGAGCCACTCTGGCTTAGAATCCCCATGCATCCCAAGCAACCATATCTCTTGTAAAACTTTCTTGGCGTAGCTTCCAATGTCCCGCAAAGGACATGCCTTATGCGTCACTGCACTCAGAGAAGCCCTGAACTACAGCTCCCTGCCAGGTAATTGTGCAACTTTGACCATAAGCGACATTGCCTAATCACACAGTTGATATTCACCGGATATTCACCGGAGCTAGAAAGTTAATCCAAGGCCACCCTTGTCTTTAGAGGAGAAAGAGTTTGTTTGCTCTCTATCCACAACTTTTCAAACATATCTTTATAAAGATGATTGTGTTTTTCAGTTTGCCTGAGATAAATGGCTTTGAAGTAATTTCACAAATCTTCTTCTGACCTATATATCCTTTTTGATAGATGATAAATTTTAGCTTTTCTTCCTCTGACTGTTTTTTCCTTTTTTGATAGGTCTAATCAAATATTCTGAACACGTGTACGATGCTTGTATGGATACATTTGACTGTCTCCCTCTCGCGGCCCTCTTAAATCAGCAGTTTCTGTGTGTACATGGTGGGATGTCACCTGAAATTACTAGTTTAGATGACATTACTAAAGTAAGTAATCTTTCATTGTTCTCATGGGTCATATATATATTTTTTAATCTTGATTTTTTTTATTGCAGTCAATATGTTTTTATTGCTGAATATTTTAAAATACAAATAATCAGAAGTAACAAATGGAAATCACCTGTGATTTAATTATTGAGAGAGAATTCCGGTTGACATTTTGCTATATATCTTCCAGAAATTTTCTCTAACTTTCAATTAAATCTGTGCTCTTACCACTAGAAACATAGCATTTCTTAGTATATTCCTGAAACTTCAAATTTTGTAGCTGTGCATAAGGAGGGAACCAGGTTTCTAATCCCTATCCTGCCATTTATCCTGTAAGCTTGACCAAATTACTCAATCTCAGTCAGTTTCTTCTCTGAAATGAAGTCAGAATGGATGGTCTGAAGACTTCCAGCTCTGAAATTCATGGATTGACATTTTAGATGAAGAATTTAAGTGTTACACTTTCTGATTTGTGATTATTTCCAGAATTCTGTATCTTTATAATTGAAAAAAGATGACCAGTCTTTTCTCACTTATATTGTTCTACATTACCATAATCTCTCCTCTACCTTTTTATATTTCATCTCTCATATAAGTACTAAAATTAAAGACGTTTCTGTTTATAAAACTGGTTACCTTCCTCAGGGCAAGAGACATGTCTACATGCACTATCTTATTTTTTTTTCTACTTTATTATCTTTTAAATAACCAGCATTTTATAATTCTGAATTGATTGTATTAATCAATTTCACTTAGTAAAAATTCTGTTCTTGGCACTCAGCTATTCTAGTTATTTCTTTTGGGGTTTTTTTGTTTGTTTGTTTGTTTGTTTTTATTCTTTTAACAACAGCAGCAATGAGTAAAGGTATAAGTTAAATAATCTATATTGAAATGTCTCCATTGCATAGGATGAAAACCCTTTGCAAAATAAAACTAGCATGCTTTAAAATAAAGAAATCTCCATTGGAATGAGATAAACAATGAATAGAATCACTGTAAAACCCTTCCTGCTCTCATGGTAACATTGGCTCATCTAGGCAATTGACATGAACTTATCACAATCTTTCTAAATAATAGTATATCTCTATCGTGGTTTGATTTTACTTTCCAATTAAATAAGTGCATACTATTTGTAAGATTAGCGTGTAAGTGGTTCTTTTGTACAGAATGGTTAGATAACATATATTTATTTAAAAAATAAAGAGAGGGCCCTAGCCAGTTGGGCTTAGAGGATAGACTGTCAGCCTGCAGACTGAAAGGTCCTGGGATTGATTCCACTCAAGAGCACATGCCTGGGTTGCAGGCTTGGTCCCTAGTAGGAGGCATGCAGGAAGCAGCCAGTCAATGATTCTCATCATTGATGTTTCTCTCTCTCCCTCTCCCTTCCTCTCTGAAATCAATAAAAATCTATCTAAAAAAACAATACAGGGTGGCAAAAGTAGGTTTATAGGGGATAGGTAAGTACAATACCTTACTCACCTCCTTCCACAACCACATTAACTTACAGCTAGTGTCTATCAATAGATGAATGGATAAAGAAGTGGTACATATATACAATGAAATATTACTCTGGCGCAAAGAATGAAATCTTGTGCCCACAGCTGGTATGGCTTAGTGGTTGAGCGTTGACCCATGAACCTAAGAGGTCACCAGTTTGATTCCTGGTTGGGGCACAAGCCTAGGTTGCAGGCTTAAACCCCAGTAGGAGGTGTGCAGGAGGCAGCCCATCGATGACATTTCTCTTTTATCGATATTTCTCTCTATCCCTTTCTCTTTTTTCTCTCTTAAAAAAAAAATCAATAAAAACATTGAAAAAATGAATTAAAAAAATGAAATCTTGCCATCTGCAACAACATAAAGTACTTACAGAGTATTATGCTAAGTGAAATAAGTCACACAGAGAAAGGGCAAATATCATTTCACTTATATGTGGAATCTGAAAAAACTCACATGAATAAACAAAACAGAAACAAACTCATAGATACAGAGAAATGTTGATGATCACTAAATGAAGGGAAAGATTTGGGACGTGGAAAAGGGGAAGGGATTAAGAGATACAAATTGGTTGTTGCAAAATAGTCATAGGGATATAAAGTACAGTATAAATCAATAATATTGTATAACTAAATATGGTGTCAGATATTAGATTTATTGGAATGATTACTTTGTAAATTATATAAATGTCTAACTACTGTGTTACATACCTGAAACTAATATAATATTGTATGCCAGCTATAATTGAATAATAAATTATTTTAAAAATGAAACAATGAACAAAATTAAAAAGTAGGTTTATAGTTGTAAATACATGAAAAAATTTATTCTTGTATTATTATTTATTAATTATTGTATCATTTTTCATACTAACCTACTTTTGCCTGATCCTGTATATAAAAAAATGATAGAAATTATGTATCAAAAATTTTTAAATGTTCGTTTTCTTGCAGGAAAATTCTTTAGGGGCTTGTTGCCTTCTCTCCTAATACCGTATTTTCTGGCGTATAAGACGACTTTTGAAATGAAAAAAAAACCTGCTCAGATTGGCCAGAGTCAGAGAGGCGGTCTATTAAAAAAAGAACTGGTGTTGCCTCGGAAGTGGGGGGTAGTCTTATACAGCGAATATAGGCCTAAACCTATGTTTTAACTGTAAAATTAGGGGGGTCGTCTTATACGCTGGAAAATACAGTACATTCTTATGAATGAAAGGATTTTTGTGGGTTTTTTGTTTTTTTTACCCATACCAATTTTCAAAAGCTCTTTTGCTTTCATGATTTTTCTTCTTTTGGCTTTTGCTTATCTTCCAGATAGACAGGTTTAAAGAACCTCCAGCCTTTGGGGCAGTGTGTGACCTGCTTTGGTCTGATCCCTTAGAGGAGTACGGCAACGAAAAGACTTTGGAGCACTATTCCCACAACACTGTGCGGGGCTGCTCTTACTTTTACAGGTGAGCTGATCCTCAAAGTTACCAAGTTGGGAAAGGAAATGGCAATATGCTTAATCAAATTATTTTAAGTATTTTATATATTGAATTTATGTAGCATAGGGACTTGTTTAATTTTTTTTTATTAATAGAAGACAGAAGATTCTTATTTGTTTCTTTTTTTGTTTACAGTTAGTAGGTTTTATGCCCTGATAAGTTTAATATACCGAACCTGATTGAACAGTACTTTAATGTTGTTTTACTCTAAATGATCTAGATAATTTGTTGCCAAACATTAACTATAAACTTTTTTTAAAATGAAGACTCCTTGGCTCTTCCCCCAGACATTTTGATTCAGGAGTCCTCTTATTATTTTGAAAAGCTCTCCAGCTTTTGGAACTACTGGTATAGGCAAAGATATAAAAAGAACAGAACATTGTGAACTTAGGACATTCCTGGAAGTTGGCTGTTGTCTTAAATCTCATATGTAAGCTTTCATTGTGCTTTGCCACTCAAAAATAGAGAGATATAGTCCTTGCTGGTTTGGCTCAGTGGATAGAGTGTTGGCCTGTTAACTGAAGAGTTGTGGGTTCGATTCCAAGGGCATGTACCTAGTTGCAGGCTCAATCATGGGTTGGGGTGCAACCAATCGATGTGTCACTCTCACATCGATGCTTCTCTCTTTCCTCCCCTCCATTCCACTCTCTATATAAAAAAATCAATGAAAAAATATTCTCAGGTGAGGATTAACAAAAAATAAAAATAAACAAATGAAATAAAATAATAGGGAAATATAGGAAAATTTGAAGTCTAAATTAAAAAAAATATATATATATATATAAATAAATACATACATATATATTGATTTCAGAGAGGAAAGGAGAGGAAGAGAAAGACAGAAACATCAATGATGAGAGAAAATCATTGATCAGCTGCCTCCTGCACTGACCCCAGGGATCAAGCCCACAACCCAGGCATGTGCCCTGACTGGGAATGAAAATGTGACCCCCTGATTCATAGGTCAGTGCTCAACCACTGAGCCACAACAGCTGGTCTGAAGTCTAAAATTTTTTATCCCAATATTTTATTGTGACAAATAATACATGTATATAGTCCCCTAAAAATTTGTTAATTGCCTAAGATGATACACTAATTAAATGGAATCTACATACAAAAAGTAAGAAGCCATGCCCTAGCTGGTTTGGCTCAGTGGATAGAGCGTCGGCCTGCACTCTGAAGGATCAATCCCAGGTTCCATTCTGGTCAAGGGGACATGCTCAGGTGGCATGCAGGAGGCAGCTGATCAGTGATTCCTTCTCATCATTAATGTTTCTCTCTCTCTCTCTCTTTCTCCCTTCCTCTCTGAAATCAATAAAAATATATTTTTAAAAGGAAGCCTCAATTTTACCATAGATTTAACATTCTTAAAGCAACTTTTTTTTCATTCTTTCTTGCCAACTCTACCAGAGACTAATACGAAATCATTTGAATGTTACTTTTCTTTACATTGCTTAAAATACTTCTTTATTATTAGCACATAGAAATCACTACAGTTTCTATGGAGGTCAACTTGACAATATCTCTCAATTATAAATGCCCATGGCCTTTGATCCGAAAGTTCTACTTCTAAATCATAATCCTGTGGGTGTACTAGTATAATTGATCTTTATTATTCACAAATTCTAATTTGCAAATTTTTCTACTTGTTAAGATTTACTTGTAACCCCAAAATCAATACTCATAGCACTTTCACAGTCATTCACAGACATGGGTGCGTGCAGAGTGACGAAAAATCTGTCACCCCACATGTGCTCCCAGCTGAGGTTAGAATTATTAGGAGTTGCTCTGCCTTCTGTTTCAGTTCTCGTAATTGTAAGCAGGTATTCTGTTTGTGGACTGTTTAACATTTTTCACGGTTTTGGTTGGTTAATTTGCTGTTTAAAAACAGCTCCATTCGAAACCGGTTTAGCTCAATGGATAGAGCATTGGCTTGGGGACTGAAGGGACCCGGGTTCAATTCCGGTCAAGGGCATGTACCTTGGTTGCGGGTATATCCCCAGTAGGGGGTGTGCAAAAGGCAACTGATCGATGACTCTCTCTCATCGATGTTTCTAACTCTTTATCTCTCTCCCTTCCTCTCTGTACAAAATCAATAAAGTATATTAAAAAAAAAAAAAAAGCTCTAAGCACAGTGCCAAAGTGCTGTCTAGTGTTGCTAAGTGCCAGAAGTCTGTGATGTGCCTTACAGAGAAAAGACCTATGTGGTCTAAGCTTGGTTCAGGCATGAATTATGGTGTTGACTGTAAGTTCCACATTTATGAATCAACAATATATATTAAATAAAGCTTCTTTACTCAGAAACACACATAAAACAGAGTTATTGATCAGTTGATAAAAATGTTGGGAGCAAAGGCTCACAGGACCCTGATTCTTTATTTTCCTTGGGTGCAGTATTGACCAATTTAGTTTTTGCAGACAATGGAATGTAACAGACAATACAATGAGGCTGTTTTTTGAAAATGAAAAAATGGCCCTGGCCGGTTTGCCTCAGTGGATGGAGTATTGGCCTGTGCACTGAGGGAGTCCCGGGTTTGATTTCGGTCAAGGACATATGTCTGGATTGTAGGCTCAATCCCCAGTGGGGTTATGCAGGAGGCAGCTGATCAGTGATCAGTAATTCTCTCTCATTGTTGATGTTTCTTTTCTTTTTTCTTTTTGTTTATTATTGATGTTTCTATCTCTCCCTCTCCCTCTCTGAAATCAATAAAAATAAATTAAAAAATAAAGAAAATAACCCTTTGTAAACTGGTATGGAATAATCACTAAAGTAAAAAAAGATATATGCAGAGCTTTGCTTACCATCTGGTAATTTTTCTAGAAGTCGGGATGATGTGCATATTCATGTGTGTGGGGTAGTTGTTTGAAGTTGTATAGAGTGTCTGTGAAAGTGCACCCAGGGAAGCCAGGGACATGGACTGCTTCTAGAGATAGAAAGCTAGAAATATCAATCAGCTGCCTCCTGCACACCCCCAATGGGGATGTGCCCGTAACCAATGTACATACATGCCTTTGACCAGAATCAAACCTGGGACCCTTCAGTCCATAGGCCTACGCTCTATCCACTGAGCCAAACCGGTTTTGGCTGCATTATATTATCTTAGTATTGATATTACCTATGAAGCTATAAGTAGGTTCTTTAACTTTTCTAACAGTTTGACAATTTGAAAATTGCGTGTTTAGTTTTTAGCACCTACAAATACACACACACACACACACACACACACAAAACCATGCTACTTTTTAACATATCAAATAGCAAGAAAAGTTTTGGTATGATGTTGTTATGGGGTAAGACAAAAATTAACAGAGGGGAGCTGTTTCTGACTAGGGTTGTCTATTACTGTATCTTCATATTTGATCTAGAATGAAGTATATTAGTGAAATAGAAAAACATAATTGTGATTGCTAAGCTATTAATAAAAGTTCAGTGATATGTAAGAGCTTAATTTCAAAATAAATTCAACTTGTATCATTCTAAATTATTCCCTTCCTATTAAAAATCAGTTGTTTTAATTCTGGATTTATGTTTTCTAATTTTCTTTTTCAGTTACCCTGCAGTTTGTGACTTTTTGCGGAATAATAATTTGTTATCAATAATCAGAGCCCATGAAGCCCAAGATGCTGGGTAGGTTATATTAAAACTGTGCCAAATATCACTGCAGAGTTTTTGCCTTTAATATCAGGACAGATGGGCTGTCATCTCTCTTCCAGGTATCGAATGTACAGGAAGAGCCAAACAACAGGCTTTCCATCACTCATTACAATTTTCTCTGCCCCCAATTACCTAGATGTCTATAACAATAAAGGTAAAGGAGTCCAGCGATATTTGAGTTTGAATTTGTGAGTAAATGTGAGCTCTATTTTAACATATATGTGTATGCATATTTTTAATATATATATAAATTTTAAATAAGGAAAAAAGTTTTAATTGAAATAAAGGCAAGATACTTAGAATTTAGGCTCTTGCTTGGTTTCCATCTACTAAAACCAAGCAAAAGCCTAATTTCTGATTTCTTGGCCTTTATTTGAGGTGTTTGTGAGTATAAATAATGATCCTAACAGATGTGATTTGTACTACTGAATCAAAATATAAGAAGGATAAATTATTCCAGGTCCCGGTTAGAACTATCAGCATTAATTATTGGTTTCAGTGAATTTAATATATTTATAACATTATCTCATAAAATACCACCATTTGGTGTTTTGATGTTTGTGCATTTGCTCTGGTTGAAGAATGGTATAGGTAGAATGAATACTATACCAAAGTGAAAAAAATCTTAACTTTAGTCCAAGCCCTTCCAGAAACTAACATAATAGTGCCACTTTAGGTAAATCACATAATCTCTCTAAACTTCAATTTCCCATATAGAAAAAGAGGATTAGCTATCCAGACACCTTTCAGCACAGAAACTCTACTTCTAAGACTTTATCCTTTTAAAGTCTTTTTTATTTAAATTTATTTTTATAAATTAATAAATAAAAAAAATAAATTTACTTTATTTTATTTATTTTTATGAGTCATAATTCCTAAGTTTTGTATCAGGGCTGTGGTTCACCTAAAAACTTCATGCCTCTGTAACTATTTTGTTGTTTAAAAAGTATGACTATAAAATAATAGAACTTTTAAATGAACATACCAGAATGTATGTATTCAAGTGAGTATAGTCCCTTGAAAGTAGTTGCCTTGGGAGGCTATACACTTATTCCAACAATGCTGCCAATGTTCAAACAGTTTTGGAACTCCTCTTTTGGCATTACCTTCAGCGTCTGCGACACATTCTTTTGATAATATCCACAATGATGGGAAATCTTCGTCCTTTGAGGGTGGATTTGATTTTTGGAACAGCCAAAAGTCATTCGGAGTGCAGACTGATGAGTAAGGTGAGTGTTCAAGCCAGTCGATATCATTTGGGCTCAGAAACAAGGTATGATTATAAGGTAATGAGACTGCTTTTCTTTGTGTTGCTTATAAAATGGCTCTGGAGGCAATTCCAAAAGAGGAGTTCCAAAAACATTTTGAGTAATGGCAGCATCTTTGAATTAAAAATACCGTAAGGCAGCAAGGTGCATTGAAAGAGACACTAAGCTAGAAGTCAGAAGTTCATTTTAAATTCACAGTTAACAAGATAACTTCACTTTGCATTTAAGTTTACTTCACACTGAACAGCATTTCCCTGAACCTCAGTTTATCTTTAAAATACCTGTCATAATAGGGTTGTTGGAGATAGGTTGGAATAATAAAAATGAAATTAAAATCATCAATCAAACTGTAAATTGATATAATACTGTAGCATTTCACTGTTATTGTGCCTGGTGTGATTACATCAAAGGACCACACTCATCTCATTGATATAAGGTCTGTGTGTTTGTAGTCAGTGGTTTCTTAAGTCTCATTACTTTATAGCCATACCTTGTATATGCAGTCGGGGAGAGAACTTTAAAGAGGTCCACAATATATTTACCATTTACTCTGTTTAAAAATAAACTATGAAATGGCACATCTCATTGAAATTGGATTTGGATCAATCATCTTAGTATATTCTTCAATGACTTCTGTCCATTTTTAAAAAGCAATTTTTTAGACGTAAGTTCTTTCCCAGCCTTATGTTTTATTTTTACTTTTTATCATCCTTTTCTGGGTTTTAGCTGTCCTCCTGTGTTCTGCTTCTCCCTAATTCCATTTTTAATCCCCCACCCCCTAATAATTTCAACGTTTAACAGTTTGGTTTTGTTCTTATCTCTTCCCTTATGAATGGTATGCACTGCTTGTGTTCTTAAACTTCCTCAAGGATACTTAGTGGTTCCAGTCTTCATATTTGTGAAGACTTTACCTTCTTGCTCCTTTTTTTTTTTTTAACCTTACTATTAAGAACATTGATTACCCAGAGTATTTGTCATGGGCTAAGCTGAAACATTGCTACCTAACGCAGCAGTCACTACTAACTGCCAGCTCACTTTTTGCTCTATCCTAATCTTGTTTTGTTCTTGGTTATTACTTTAGTAAACTTTTAAAGTCACACTTCATTTTATCTGAGTTTTCTGCCCACTTTGATATAATCGGTAATCTTATCTTGAAACAATCTTATTCCCCTTGGTTGTTTCTTAAGCATTTTGGGGGGGAAAGGCAGAAAATGTGGCACCTGAAATAACCTGTGGTGACACTCAGTTACTCCCCATACAAGTGCCTCTTTTCTTGAAAAAGGCAACTTCTCTTTCTTCTACAGTAGCATTTCTTGAATATTCTTTAGACTTATTGGTATCCACAGATATTTCTTAGCTTCACTGGTTATATAAAAGACCCTCAAGTCATGATTTTTAAAGATTTCTATTCCAATTTTTTGTGTCCACTGGAAAGATATCCTAAGTCAGTCTAATTTTAATCATCCACTGTTGAGACCTACCTCCCACTCCTTTTCCTGTGTAGATTGAGGCAATTGTTGAATAACTGTATATTCATCTAATCTAAATAAAATACATATACATGAAAATAATGGAACATGTACATTGTAGTCAGTGTTAGGTTTTTAAGAGCTAGAGATTCTATGTTCATGTATTTTTCTTTATAATCTATGGTGTACATTTTAGACATTCAATAACTTAAATTATATCCTATATAAAAAGAAGGTAATATGCAAATTGACGGTCATGCCCTTGCACAAGATGTCCATCCCCATGTGGTCATTAGATGGCCACATCCAAGATGGCCGGCAGGGTAGGGCAGTTGAGGGGGACCAGGCTGGCAGTGGGGAGCAGTTGGGGGCAATTGGGCCGGCAGGGGAGCGTTGATCAGGCTGTCAGGGGAGTGGTTACGGGGTGATCAGGCTGGCAGGCAGAAGCGGTTACAGACCATCAGCAGGCAGGCAGGTGAGCAGTTTGGAGCCAGCAGTCCCGGATTATTAGAGGGATGTCCAACTACCGGTTTAGGCCCATTTCAGTGGGCCTAAGCCAGCAGTCGAACATCCCCCGAGGGGTCCCATATTGGAGAGGGTGCAGACTGGGCTGAAGGACACCCCCCACTGCTCAGTGCATGAGTTTCTATAATAAGCAAAGAAACAGAAACCAGGAGATGACATATATCTATCATTTCTAGAGAGCTGTTACACCCTATTCTATTTATGATCACAGTAAGAATAATACAAACAACATTGCATTGCTGATGATAAAGATGAAGGAACTGGATATTAAAACTTTTCAAATATAAAAAAAATTAGTTTGATACCAAAGTATACGTACAAATTTATGGGCTGGTTAATATTAAACACAGATATACTGACTGTATATTGGAAAGATGGGCATTTTTTATCCACTATATTGCATGTAGAGAATGTTGAATCTACTTTTGAACCTTGTAAATTAATCCAAGTTTATGATCTGTAGATAACTGCTATGTTTATAAACTCCCAGAGAATTTATAAATCTTTGGCTCTGGCAATCAAAACAGGCTGTGTCCATTTAGTGAGAACTTTTGCCCTCAAAGGAGAGTTGCATTTGTAACTACTTTGCATATCTATATAAATATGCAAATAAAATGATAATATGCTAATGAGACCAGATAGACCAGACATCTTTCGGATGTCCTTTCGGACAAAGCCACAGTGGTGGGGGCAGAGGCAGAGACAGTTAGGGGCGATCAGGCAAGCAGGCGAGAGCGGTTAAGGATGATCAGGCAGGTGAGTGGTTAGGAGCCAGTGGTCCTGGATTGCAAGAGAGATGTCCAGCAGTCAGACATCCCCCTAGAGGGTCCTGGAATGGAGAGGATGCAGGCCAGGCTGAGGGAGCTCCCCCTGCCCCGTGCATGAATTCTGTGCACTGGGCCTCTAGTTCTGTATAATTAAAGGTTAATATGCAAATTGACCCTAACAGCGGAACGACTGATCACTATGATGTACACTGACCACCAATTGCTATATGCACACAGATGCTCAATGCAGTACCTGCCCCCCTGGTGGTCAGTGCACTCCCATAGGGGGAGCTCTCCTTAGTCACAAGCTGGACTGACGGTTTCGAGCACAGTGGTGATGGCAGGAGCCTCTCCCGCCTCCTCGGCAACGCTAAGGGTGTCTGACTGTGGCTTAGGGAAGCGGGCCTAAGCCGCAAGCAGACATCCCCCAAGGGGTCCCAGACTGCCAGAGTGATGTCTGACTGCCAGTTCAGGCCCGATCCCCCGGGGTACGGGCCTAAGGTGGCAGGTGGACATCCCCTGAGGGGTCCTGGACTATGAGAGGGCACAGGCCTGGCTTATGTATCTCCCCTCACCCCCAAGTGCATGAATTTTCATGTACTGGGTCTCTAGTAAAGAGATATTATGAAATTATGGCAAATTTTTCTCAGGTGGAACCTGAGATTTCTATAGGTAGTTACTGTGCAGTGACTCTGAAGTTTCAGAGCATAGTTTCTTTTGTACTTTTAAAATATGAGCTCTTTATATAACTTTGTTCCTTGGGATTAGTCTTAAGAGAATGAACTGTAGAGCCCTAGCCAGTTTGACTCAGTGGTTATTGTTGGACTGTGGACTAAAGAGTCCCGTCAAGGGCACATACCAGGCTCTTTCCCTGGCTTTGGTCAATCCCCAGCCTTGGACTTGATGTGTCTGTATGTCTGTCTGTCTGTCTGTCTGTCTCTCTCTCTCTCTCTCTCTCTCTCTCTCTCTCCCCCCCTCTCTCTCCCCCCTACCCCTCTCTCCCTCCCTCTCTCCTTCTCCTTCCCTTCGTTCTTCCCTCCCTCCCTCCCTCCCTCTTTTTCTAAAGATCAAAGGGAAAATATCCTTGGATATTGAAAAAAATAATAATAAAAATAAGCATAATCATAAAAAAAAGAATGAACTATATATAAAATGCTTTAAGATTTTCCTTCTGCCCTTAAATACTAAGTCCTGAATTTACAAATGAAAATTAAGTTATTGAATTCTGTGTAGTAAATATACAACTATCAATATACAATTCATACTAGTTGCCATGTCATGTTCCTCTGTGCCAGATTTTCTTGCTTTTTACCTTTTTAGCTGCTGTGTTAAAATATGAAAACAATGTCATGAATATCAGGCAGTTTAACTGTTCTCCACACCCCTACTGGCTTCCAAACTTTATGGATGTTTTCACGTGGTCTTTGCCTTTTGTTGGAGAGAAAGGTAAGAGAACTAAAGTATCTGGCCCATCAGTTATCTTAGCATACTTTTATATTTGCATGAGCCCCTGATGATTCAGAAATGTTTTTTAAAGTTATCAAAATATTTTCTAATTTTCTTTGTTTTTTAATAAAGATTTTAAAATGACATGTAATTAGTTTTTAAATTACAATTCTAGTTGATTTATGCTTTTCTTATTATACAAATCCACTTAATGTAGCTGTGCTACTGTGATCAAGATATTAAAATAACATGTCATTATACCATTCCTTCAGTGATTTCTTCAGTGATAAAAGAGATTTAAATAGGAAATATTGCCCTTAGAACTTTATTTGTGTACCTATACAAAAAAGCTATGCAAATATAAAATAAGCCTGTTGGATATAGGTCTGGCCTGATGGCTTAACTTCTTTGTAAAATAGGAGGAAGTCTTTTTGTGTGCTTATCAGTGAAGGAAATGGCTCTGGATAGTGGTCTGATGAAATCATATAATGATGCAATAGAATCATCAAAGACTCCAGACTTTTACTGGAACAAGTAATCTCCCCAAATTGTATGTAAACCAGGAGTATAATGCTACTCTGTAGCTACTCTTTTTTTTTTTTTTTTTTTTTAATATATTTTATTGATTTTTTCACAGAGAGATAGAAGAGAGAGGGATAGAGAGTTAGAAACATTGATGAGAGAGAATCATCGATCAGCTGCCTTTTGCACACCCCCTACTGGGGATGTGCCCACAACCAAGGTACATGCCCTTGACCAGAATCGAACCCGGGACCTTTCAGTCCCCAGGCCGACGCTCTATCCACTGAGCCAAACCGGTCCCAGCTGTAGCTACTCTTAATAGCCTAATGACAAGTCATTTTTATTTATGTTTAACAAGTATGTTTATTTAGATATTCACATCATTTTGGAAAAGTTCTTTATTAATCACTTAGATTTGTGTTTTTTTAAATGAATTTATTGTTCTTAAAATCAGGGCTATTTTGCTTTATCTTATAGTCACAGAGATGCTGGTTAACATTCTCAACATATGCTCTGATGATGAGTTGAATTGCGAGGATGAAATTGAAGGTAATCTTGCCTTTTCCTCATTTGAACTAGAAATGAAATTTTGGTTTTGGTTTGAATTTGTTTTGAATAATTATTTTATTAAAAAAGATTTGTATTCAATGTAAGAAATTGAAGAATATAGGAAGCAACAAATAAGGGAGGAAGAACATCACCTGTAATCTTATCATCTCATATCCACTGATACCATCTTACTGTGTTAGCTTTTATCTGTGCATATATTTTTGTCTACTTTTTCTTTACTTTTTAACAAAAATGAGAGCATGTGATAATATGACTTTTACTTTTTTTATAGATAATTTTTTAATGGTTACATAGTTGTCAGTGTCAATTATTTTTTGTTTTAACCAATCCACTGCTGTTGGATATTGGATATTTTTTAAGTCCATAATTTTTTTTTTAAATATGTATTTTATTGATTTTTTACAGAGAGGAGGAGAGGGGGATAGAGAATTAGAAACATCGATGAGAGAGAATCATTGATCAGCTGCCTCTTGCACACCCCCTACCAGGGATGTGCCCGCAACCAATGTACATGCCCCTGACCGGAATCGAACCTGGGACCTTTCAGTCCGCAGACCGACGTTCTACCACTGAGCCAAACCGGTTTGGGCTAAGTCCATAATTTTGAACTCTTACAGATAGATCTTACAGAATATTGCACATTCTGTCAACAACCAACATTTGTTACGTGCTTGATATGTGTCAAATACTGTTTAGATCCTTGCTTTCAATAAGCTTATATTCTAGTGGAGGGAAGACAGACAATAAATATGTCAGATGTTGATCTGTGGTATGAAAGGAAATAAAGCAACATTAGGATATGAACGATAACATTTTCTCAATTTCCATAGGATAAATTTCTAGAAATTTAATATCTGTGTCAATTAGTACTTAAAATTTTAAATCGGATACAGATAACCTCTAGAGGGGATGTACCAGTTTACATTTCCTGTGTGACACATAGTTCACAGAGTTTTCTTCAATACTGTTCATTATACTTTTTATAGTCTGGTGTTTTTTTTGTTTTTGTTTATTTTATTTTATTTTATTTTTATTAAATTATTTGTGTTGTTTTAAATTGTAATTTGTATTTTTATGATGACTGATTAATATTTGTGTGTGTGTGTGTGTGTGTGTGTGTGTGTGTGTTTATTGACCATGTTTATCTCTCTTTTGTGAATTGTCAGTTCATACCTTTTCCCCATTTTTCTACTGGGTTATGTGAATCTTTGCTTATTTTTCTTCTTGGCCTCCGAGGGATCTTAATATAGTAACATTTTGTTGCATATGTAGCCAAGTATTTTTTTCCTAGTGTATTGTGGGAGGTTTTGTTTTGTTTGTTTGTTTGTTTATATTGATCTTAGAAATAGAGAAACATCGATGTGAAAGAGACATATTGATTGGTTGCCTCCAGTAGGCGCCCCAACAGAGGATCAAACCTGAAACTTACATATGTGCCTTGAGTAGGAATCAAACCCACAACCTTTTGGTATGGTGATGATGCTCCAACTGAGCCACACTGGCCAGGGCACAGGGAGATTTGATTTTAAAGGTAAGGTCCTAACTTATCTGAGAATGCAGAAGATTCAGGAAGGATGGTGGCACCTGAGCACAACCTCCGACTGTCTCATTCTCTCCAAGCTCTGTGCTAAGGTGATCCAATTATTAGGATAAGCTCTGTACAGTGGAGAAAGCCTAGCTTACTTAGAGCATACAGAGGAGAGTAGTGCACATACTTATGCTTCAGATTCCACATGGGAGGTGCAGAGCAGATAGCGCGGAGTTTGTGAGTACTTTTAAGTATAGGATAGAAGACGACTATAAGGAAACCAGTTCTTGAGCAAAAAGTGCAGCCAAGTAAAAATCAAAACAAAGCAAAATGAATATAAAGAAAACAACACCTAGCTGCACATCATAGTAAAAGTGCTCAGGTGAAAGAAAAAAATCTTTAGGCAGCCAGCAAAAAGATTACTTTCAACAGAGAACAATTAAGCTGACAGTAGAAGCAGAAAACAATGTAATGACATATTCAAAGCACTGAAATAGACTAACTGGTAATTTAAGATTCTACATCAAGTAGAATGTGGAGGAGCCCTAACTGGTTTGGCTCAGTGGACAGAGCGTCAGCCTATAGACTGGAGGATCCCAGGTTAGATTCTAGCCAAGGGTTGTGGGCTCGATCCCCAGTAGGGGGTGTGCAGGAGGCAGCTGATCAATGATTCTCTGTCATCAATGATTCTCTCTCTCTATCTTTCTCCCTTCCTCTCTAAAATCAATTAAAAAAAAAAAAGAATGAAGAGGAAATAAACACTTTCAGATATTCTTCCATTAAAACATTTACTATGGCCGAAACCGGTTTGGCTCAGTGAATAGAACGTCGGCCTGTAGACAGGAGTCCGGGTACGATTCCGGTCAAGGGCATGTACCTTGGTTGCGGGCACATTGCCAGTAGGGGGTGTACAGGAGGCAGCTGGTTGATGTTTCTCTCTCATCGATGTTTCTAGCTCTCCATCCCTCTTCTTCCTCTGTGAAATAAATCAATAAAAAAATAAAAAAAAAAAAAAATTTACTGTGGCCGAAACTGATTTAGCTCAGTGGATAGAGTGTCAGTTTGTGGACTGAAGGGTCCCAGGTTTGATTCCGGTCAAGGGCATGTACATTGGTTGCGGGCACATCCCCAGTAGGGGGTGTGCAGGAGGCAGCTGGTCGATGTTTCTCTCTCATCGATGTTTCTAGCTTTCTATCCCTCTCCCTTCCTCTCTGTAAAAAACTCAATAAAATATATATTTTTTAAAAGAATAAGTTTTTACCAATAAATTTTAAAACTTAGATGAAATGGATAAATTCCTAGAAAAGTAAACTTACCCAAATTAAAGCAATATAGGAAATTATAATAATCACATGTCTACCAAGAAATAGTCTGTAATGATAAATTTTTCTATGAAGGAAATGCCAAGTGCAGAAAACTTCAACACATTTTACCAAATATTTAAGAAAGAAAGAACACAAATCTTAACAAGAAATTATCCCAAGAATAAAAAAAGATATGCTTACTTAATGAGGCCAGTATGACTATGATACTAAAACATGACAAGGACATTAATATAGATTTAATAATCCTAAAAAAAAAACTTAAGCAAATTGAAATTAACAATATACATAAAAGACTTACGCTGACCAACCTAGTTGATTTATTCTACAAGTAGGAAATCTTAGAAGATTTAACATTCAGAATTCAATATATCTATATATTCCAGTATATACTGATTAATGGATAATGAGTTAATAATAATGGATAATAAGTGTGGGGTAGAAGGAAACTCTATGTTATCTTCATATCCTTTATGTTACAACGAAAACTATTCTAAAATAAAATTGTTACTTAAAACAAATCAATCACAATAATTCCATGCATTAATAGAAAAAAGGAAAAAAGATATTTTCTCAGTAGATGTAGAAACAGCATTAGATAAGATTCACCTTTCATTTATAATGGATTTCTTAACTGAGGTTTATTGAAGTAGTCATTTTTTTAGAGAGAGAAAAAAATTATTTAATCTGACAAATCTCTTTATATAAAAGCTTAATATTCTGTGTCCATTTGACTGTTCAACAAGTCACTATGATGCACACTGCCAACCAGGGGGCAGATGCTCCAACTAGTAGGTTAGCTTGCTGCTGGAGTCTGGCCAGTTTGGACTGGGTGAGATGGGCGGACACACCTGGAGCCCTCCCTCGGTCCTTCCCTGGCCCTGATCATACACCGGCGGGGTCCCTCAGCCTGGCCTGCGCCCTTCCGCAATCCAGGATTCCTCAGCAGATGTCGGAAAGCTGGTTTTGGCCCCATCCCTGCAGGCTAGGCCCTAGGGACACCAATCTATGCACCAGGCCTCTAATATATTAATAAAAACCTCTAACAGCCTGGTCAGCATGGCTCAGTGGTTGAGCATCAACCTATGAACTAGGAGGTCATGGTCGATTCCTGGTCAGAGCACATGCCCAAGTTATGGGCTTAATCCCTGGTGAGGGTCTGCAGGATACAGCTGTTCAATGATTCTCTCTCTTCATTTATGTCTGTCTGTCTCCCTCCCTCCCTCCCTTCCTCTCTCCCTCTTCCTTCCTCTCTGAAAACAATAAAAATATATTAAAACAAAATCTATAACAAACATCATATGGTGAAGTGTTGAAAGCTTTCCTTAGTGTTTGGAATCAGACAAAGGGTTCAGCTGTCAATACTTCTATGCCATATCATACTAGAAGTCATATCTAATACAGTAAGGCAAGAAAAAGAAATACAAGCTGAGACCGGTTTGGCTCAATGGATAAAGCGTCGGCTTGGGGACTGAAGGGACCCGGGTTCGATTCCGGTCAAGGGCATATACCTTGGTTTCGGGCATGTCCCCAGTGGGGGGTGTGCAAGAGGAAGCTGATCGATGACTCTCTCATTGATGTTTCTAACTATCTCTCTCCCTTCCTCTCTGTACAAAATCAATAAAATATTTTTAAAAATTAAAAAAAAAGAAAAGAAAAAGAAATACAAGGTATAAAGATTGGAAAGGAAGAAATAAAACTCATTATTGATATGATTGTGTACAGAGAATTAAGAGAGTCTATAGATTATTAGAATCAATAAGTGCAGGTAGTAAAGCTGCTGGACAAAAATCAGTAAAATCATTTGTATTCCTATTTATCAGCAGCGAACAGAATGAAAAATTTTTAATATGCTATTTACAATAAATTTAACAAATGCTGTGTGATACCTGAACAACAAATATAAGTTATTGTTAAAGAAATTGAAAGAGATCTAAATAAGAAATACTATATTCATAGACTATTAGATGATTCAGTATTGGAAAGATATAAATTATTCCCAAATTGATATGTAGATTCATAGTCAAATATTAACAATTTTATTCTAAATTTCATTATGGAAATGCTAAGGTTAGATTCTAAAGTTCTTATGGGAATAGCTTAAATATTGAAGAAGGATAAGGTAAGAGAATTTGTTCTTTATGACTTGAAGGTTTACTATAAAGCTAGAGTAATTGGAATTATTAGTGCAAGGACAGACAAGCACTAAAACAGACTTGAGAATCCAGAAATAGATCCCCACATATATGGACACTTGATTTATATCAGACGTGGCACTGCGGAGTAGTAGGGAAATGATAATATTTTTCATAGATTGTTTGAGGATGTTTATTTGAATAAAAATTAAACCTGACCCCTGTCATATTACAGGCACAAAAGTAAATTCCAGATGGATCAATACATTCAATATGAAAGGCAAAACAATAAATTTTCTTTTTTTTAAATATATTTTATTAATTTTTTACAGAGAGAAAAGAGAGGGATAGAGAGTTAGAAACATCGATGAGAGAGAAACATGGACCAGCTGCCTCTTGCACACCCCCTACTGGGGATGTGCCCGCAATCAAGGTACATGGCCTTGACCGGAATCGAACCCGGGACCCTTCAGTCCACAGGCCGATGTTCTATCCACTGAGCCAAACCGGTCTCGGCAATTTTCTAGTATTTATATTATAGAATATCTTCATGATCTTGGATTAGAGGAAAATTTCTTAAACAGTGTGCAAAAAGCACTAACCATACAGGAACTATTAATAACTTGGGACTATGTTAAAAGTAAAGACTTGTGTTTATCAAAAAATACTGTTAAGAGTGGGAGAGGAGCCCAGGCGGGGTAGCTCAGTGGTTGAGCATCTACCTATGAATCAGGAAGTCATGGTTCGATTCCGGTCAGGGAACATGCCCAGGTTTTGGATTTGATCCCCGGGGTGGGGGTAGGGGGAAAGGGTAGGAGTTAGCTGATCAGTGATTTTCTCGCATCATTGATGTTTTCATCTCTCTCTCCCTCTAACTTCCTGTCTCTGAAATCAATAAAAGTAATTTTTGAAAAAACATTGGGAGAGGATATTTGCAATGCAACCAAGAAAGGACTTGCCAAAATATATACTGAACTATATAGAAATCAGTAAGATGAGATTTGAACAAGCACTTCACAAAAGATATTCAAATGTCCAGAAAAATATGAAAAGATATTCAACTACATTGGTAATTGTGAAAATGCAAATTAAAACAATGGATGATTTTAGATATCTACCAGATTGTCTCTAAAATTAAAGATGAATAACACCAAATGTTGGCCAGGTTGTGAAGTAGCAGGAATGTCAGACCCTGAAGTTTAAATTGGTACATCCACTTTAGTAGATAATGCCAAACTGTTACCCAAAGTTGAACATACATGTACTCTATAACTGAACATTTTCATTCTAGAAATATACTTAACACAAATACATGCAGTGAAGAGAAGTACATAGGAATAGTCACAGAAGCCTAATTCAGAATAGCCAAAGATTAGAATAAGCCAAATGACCACTGACAGTAAAAAGGAAAAATAAGCCCTAAGTGGTTTGGCTCGGTGGATAGAGTTTTTGCCTGTGGATTGAAGGGTCCCAGATTCGATTCTGGTCAAGGGCATGTACCTTAGTTACAGGCTCATCTCCAGTAGCAGGGGGTGTTGCAGGAGGCAGCTGATCCATGTTTTTAACTCTTTATCCCTCTCCCTTCCTCTCTGTAAAAAATCAATAACATACATATATTTTTTTTAAAAAAGGAGAAATAAGTTGGGCCATATTTATGTAGTGGAATTATATACAGTAATGACATTGAACTACAGCAACAGGAAAAACACAGGTGAATCTTCCTATGTTGAACAAAAGAAGCTGGACAGAAATGCATATTTGATTGTTCCAATTACATAAAGTTAACGAAAACGGGTGCTTATGTATACATGCTTACATGGTAAAACTATACATAAAAGTAAGAAGATAATTTCAGTAAAATTCAAGAGAATGATTCTTGGGGAGAAGACAGAGACTATAATTATTAGGAAGGACTCAAGGGGAACATCTAGGGTGCTGGCAAGGTTCTATTTATTGACCTGAGTGGTAATTATATGGGCATTTGCTTTTTAATAAATCACTGGGTTACATGATTGTGTACTTTTCTGTATGTTTATCATGCTTCACAATAAGAAAGGTTAAGAAAGTACCTGGTTAGAGTGACTCAGTTGCTTGAGCATCGTCCTGTACACCGAAAGTTTGCTGCTGGTTCAATTCCCAGTCAGGGCATATATAGAAGACAGCTAATAGATATCTCTCTCTCTCTCTCTCTCTCTCTCTCTCTCTCTCTCTCTCTCTCTCTCTCTCTCTCTCTCTCTCTCTCTCCAGGTCTCTGGTTGAGGGCTTTTTTTTTTTTAAAGTTAAGAAACTTAAAAACCTACAAACCCAAATATTTTTATAGCACTTTCTGAAGCTAGAAAATGAATTATTATTAATTGACTTTGCTGATTCATGAAAGCTCAAGTTGAACTTACTAATGGGAAATGCTGAGCTGCAGCACAGAATCCTCAAAAAGCAAAGGAATTGGTAGCATCAGTTGAGAGAATTGGGGATTGTGGGTTGGGTGGGAGAAGGGAGATGGGTACTGAGCCTGAATAAGGAGACTGGATGAAAGTTTTTGGAAAGGCAGTTCAAGTCCTGATTGTTAGTGAGCAACTGCCTCTTCTCCAAGTCTGGAGGCTAATCTCTAAAAGGTAAACCAGACAGTTTCTGGAGGGAGATACCATGCAATTGAGGGATCAGTATCTTACCAAAGGAATTGAAAGAACTGACTCTGTGCAAGCACACTCAGTACTGGGAGAGAGAATTCTCTAAAATAGGCCCAATCTGATCACTCTATCTAAAGCTCCAAGTCAACAGTCCACCCACCAACTCTGAAAGCTCTTGAGTCCCTCAGTCTTAATCATGAGCAAACACGAAGGATTGCCAGATGCTCAGGAAGGTCTCTAAAGACAACAGCAAAAAGCAATTTGAATGAACTTGAGATTCTGAAGAAAATATAAAACTTAAAAAAGGAAAAACTGTAATATCTCTAGAAAGATATGGGAATATATTGAATCCATTAAAAAAATGTAATTCTCTTATTAAGAGGTTTGTAAGCTGTTTGTTCTGTCCTTTGTTTTTGTTTCTTGTTTTCATTGTCATTTGGTCTATAAAAAAATCTTCTTTTTTTTTTTTGGTCTAATTTTATTTTCATGATCTCTGGGGATAAAAGATGTTGGATAATAATAGATGTTTTGAATTAATGTAAAACTATGAACTTTTAAGAAGTGGAAAATGACTGACAAGAAATCCATAATTGAACATTCTGTCAGGATTCCGGGGGTTTCTTTTCTGAGCTGATAAAGATTATAGCCTGCTTCTCCCATTGCATTTCACTTTGATTTTTTCTCTCTCTTCCATGTAAAATTAAATGCTCTTCCCATATTCCTATCTTCATCTCCTTGTTTCTTGGTGTCTCTTCTCCCTGAAGATCACTACATTTCAAGCTATCAGAAAGGTATCATACTAAAATGTGTTAAGAGTTTAATATTCACTGTCTGTCCCACTAAAAAGTCTATTAGACTTTTTTAGATGTAATTGAACTCCTTCAGACAGGGTCTTCATTCTCCCTTTCTGTTTTGATGTGTGTGTTTTCTGTGGACCTGCTGGATGATCCTGCAGGTGTTGAGAGCTGGGGGATATTTTTTTTGAGGGGGAAGAGCCCATGAGGAGGGGGCGGCCACATTTCTTTTTCTGACTGTTGAGTGTTGTCACATGGTGCATCCTGGACCTCGGTTTCTTATGTGTGAGCTGTTTTCTGAATCTTAGACCAGAAAAGGCCATTAAATCATTCATTAACTTTTGTGATGTTGTTTATGAAAAACCTCAACCTGTCATCATGATTTTACTGCGCAGTTGTCAATAGTAGGAAATTCTCGCCAGTTTGTAAGTGACAATTATAGAGTGAAATTAGCCCTCACTAAGTTCTGGAGAGCGCCTGAGTGCTGTGTTTACGTGCTCAAATCATCACTTGCCATTCGCAGGCCAACCCTGCGTCCTAAGGTGGCCACAGCATTCTCAAAAGAGATCTTTGCTGTAGCAACTGTCTTGTTTATATGTGTGTGTACACTCTTCTCTGTGTTCTACATTTCAGAACCACAAACAAGTTCCTACCTCTCATAGATGTGCCCATGTGGCCCCCTTCATTTTTTACTTCCTCTTTTTCTCTTGTGGTTATTTTTTTTTTCTTCTTGCTCCTCAGAACTTCCTGGGATTTTTATTTAAACAAACTTGAGCCTTGATTTTTTTTTAATGACAGTTTCTTTTAACTTAGAAAGATGCTTCATCCTGTATTTTTTTAAACTTAATATGTTAACACACTCCTTTAATTCACGAATTCTTTGTATTTTCAAAGGCATCACTGCAGTTCGAAAGGAGATCATCAAGAATAAAATCAGAGCCATTGGGAAGATGGCACGAGTCTTTGCAGTTCTTCGGTAAGGATGTCTGTCATGAAAGTGTGGGAATAAAAGCATTTTGAGAGTACATTAGAAGCTGGTTTCAGAACAGAAGTTTTAGAATTAGAATTTGGTATTAGAACTGTAAGTCAAGTGCAGATTAGAATTAGATCTATATGTTAGGATGGCTAGCAATGTTCTGGTAAACATTCACTTGGCATGAACTCAAATGTAGTGGTTTAGTGTGGATTCTGGAGCCAGGTTACTTATGAATACATCCTGGCTCTACCTCTTCTTAGCTGTGTGATCTTACACCTCATTTTTCTTGTCTATAAAAAGTGAGTAAAAACAAAACCTGTTTTATATGGTTATTAAGAGGGTTAAATGAGATAATATAAGGGAAGCATTAGAATAGCACCTGGTTATGGAGTGTCCTTAATTGAAAAGCAAGACCTGGCAGATTCTTTAAAATTGGAATATTTGGAGAAAACATCCCTTTCTTTGGTTCAGGGAAGGGGAAGGGAGGAGAACCTGTTCTCCATCCCTGTACATTGTAACTTCCTCTAAGTACCTTTGAATTGCTGAGTGTGGACACCTGGCATTAACCAGGGCTTTGCTCTTCCTTGGCAGGGAAGAAAGTGAGAGTGTGCTGACTCTCAAGGGCCTGACTCCTACAGGGACACTCCCTGTGGGTGTCCTCTCAGGGGGAAAGCAGACTATTGAGACAGGTGAGTATGAGGAATGCTCCTTCTAAGGTGTGACCTAGCAGTCAGTTAAAATGAAAAATTGGGGTTCCCTCAGTAAAAATATGAAATCTTGCCATTTGTGACAGCATGGGTGAAGCTGGAGGGTATTATGCTAAGTGAAATAAGTCAGACTGAGAAAGACAAACACCATATAATTTCATTTATGTGTGGAATATTTTAAAAAATTAACGAACTAAACAAACAGACTCATAAAGGCAGAGAACAAACTGATGGTTATCAGAGGGAAGGGGGAGAAAAGGGGCACAAAGGTGAAGGGGGAGAAAAGTACAAATTTTTAATTCTAAAATAAATAGGTCACAGGGATGCAATATACAACACACAGAATGTAATCAATAATATTGTAATAACTATGTATAGTGACAGGTGGATACTAGACTTACCATGGTGATCACTTCATTAAGTATATAAATGTAGAATCACTATTTTGTACATCTGAAACTAATATATGATTAAATGTCAACTATAGTTAAGAAATAAAATATTTTTTTTAATTGGAACTTCTTTCAATAAATATTATTGGAGCAACTGGATGTTCTACTGGGGGAAAATTCATCTTGACCCTTCTCTTCATATAGAAAAAAATCAATTCAAAATGAATTACAACTTAGATATAAAAGGTAAAAGCAGTAAAATTACTCTAAAAGAAAGAATGGAGAATAGGCATTGAGGCAGATAAAGAGTCCTTAAATAGAACGGAAAAAGTACTAACCTTAAAAGAAAAAATAATTAAATTTTATTAAAACTAAGAATTTCTAGCCGAAACTGGTTTGACTCAGTGGATAGAGCGTCAGCCTGTGAACTGAAAGGTCCCAGGTTCGATTCTGGTCAAGGGCATGTACCTTGGTTGTGGGCACATCCCCAGTAATGATATTTCTCTCTCTTTGATGTTTCTAACTCTCTATCTCTCTCCCTTTCTCTCTGTAAAAAATCAATAATATATATATATATATATATATATATTTATTTATTTATTTATTTTTAAAGAATTTCTATTCACAAAAAATGCATGATTAAGAAAGGGAAAAGGCAAAACATACATTGGGACATTTTTGCGATAGTCTGACAAAGGACTTAATTCAGAATATAGTACATAACATTTTTCAATAAGAAAAATGCAACCAATGTTTTTAAAATGGTCCAAAGAGCCGAAACCGGTTTGGCTCAGTGGATAGAGTGTCGGCCTGCAGACCTAAAGGTCCCAGGTTCGATTCCGGTCAAGGGCATGTACCTGGGTTGCAGGCACATTCCCAGTAGAGAGTATGCAAGAGGCAGCTGATTGATGTTTCTCTCTCATCGATGTTTCTAGCTCTCTATCCTTCTCTGTTTCTCTCTGTAAAAAAATCTATAAAATATATTTTTAAAAATATATAAAATAAAATGGTCCAAAGAGTTTAACTGGCACGTCACAGAAGAGAGTATCAAAATGAAAAAGTCTGACAAGTGCTCGCTTTGGCAGCACATAAACTAAAATTGAAACAGAGAAAATTAGCATGCCCCTGCACAAGAATGATACGCAAATTTGTGAAACATAAAACAACAACTGACGATACGAAGTGTTGGTAAGTTTGTGGAAAACTAGAAACTAGATACATTACTGGCCAGCTTGTTCAACCACTCTGGAAAACTGTTTACAGAGCAGTAAAGCAAAACATGTCCACCTCATAACCCCGCAGTTTGTATTTATCAGAGAGAAATCAGTGCATATATCCACCAAAGGTTGTGCACTAGAATGCCCACGTTAACTTTATTGTAATAGCCCCAAACGGGAAACAACCCACGTGTCCATCGATAAATAGAATAGATAAATGTGTCATATGTATACAATGGGTATAAAAATAGCAATAAATAAAAAATAGCATTACAAATACATGCCAAACATTGTTAAATCTCACAGACATTATGGTGAACTGAAAAAACTAGACCCAAAAAGATACCAACTGTCTGATTTATATGATATTCAGGACCAGGCATACTAATAGAAGTCAGAAGGGCATTTCCTTTAGAGGGAGAATATTGGTCCAGAAGGGACTTCTGGAGTAGTAGGAATGTTCTATATCGCTCTCTGGGTGGTAATTGCCTACAAGTCATATCCTACTCCAGTGCCACAGTCACCTCTCCAACCAGAGCGTCCCTTCTAAAAATTACATGGGCCGAAACCGGTTTGGCTTAGTGGTAGAGCATCGGTCTGTGGACTGAAAGGTCCCAGGTTCGATTCCCGTCAGGAACATGTACTTTGGTTGCAGGCACATCCCCAGTAGGGGGTGTGGGGTGTGCAGGAGGCAGCTGGTCGATGTTTCTCTCTCATCAACGTTTCTAGCTCTCTATCCCTCTCCCTTCCTCTCTGTAAAAAATCAGTAAAATATATTTTTAAAAATAAAATAAAATAAAAATTACATGGGCATTGACTTCTAAGGAGAGGGCTTTATGGAATAAAAAGATTCACGTTTGGCAGATTAACATAGATCTGGTCGAGCAATGGGAAGAAACGAGATCATGTTATTGGATGACTAATTCTGGGCATGAAAAGTGGAGTTGAAGCTTTAACAAATCAAACTAGAGTTTCATTGCCTTTTTGTCCTGTTCCTCCCCCCCACCCCCTTTTGTTGCATTGAATTGTTTCTGCTTAAGTTTTTCTCTTTTCTTTGTCATCTGCCACTTTGAGGAAGTCTCAGTTTCACATGTTCATTGGCAAACTCTGGAGCATTAGCTGAATAAGACCTTTTTTTTCATATAACTTTACTTGGAGAGCTTTCAATCAACAATAGCCCATATGACCGTAGGGGTGTCGAACTCAGAGAAGGGGCCAAAATCTAAAATCCAGCCTAAATCGCGGGCCGAATGGTTTACTGAACAGTCATAAACTGTCATTGTGATGGAAACGCAGCGGAGTGCAGTGATGACAGCGCGGTGCGGGCCACATTGCAAGGCCTGGCGGGACGGATTTGGCCCGCGGGCCTTGTGTTTGACACATGTGCCTTATAGCATATACTCATTTAGGCCCCACCTTGTTTCAAGAGGGACTGGAGTAAATTACAGTATACAAGTGAAATAAAATAAATATACTTGGAAATTGGAGCACAAAACAAACAAAAAAAGCCACTAGGCAGCCACAGATGTGATCTAAGCTTGTTAGAAGCCAAAATGAAGAGGAAAGCCAGTAAATGAATAAGATTCACAAAGACAGCCAAAACCAGTTCGGCTCAGTGGTTAGAGCATCAGCCTGCGGACTGAGGGGTCCCGGGTTTGATTCCGGTCAAGGGGATATACCTTGGCTGTGGGCACATCCCCAGTAGGGTGTGTGCAGAAGGCAGCTGATTGATGTTTCTCACTCTCTCTTTCCCTTACTCTCTGTAAAAAAATCAATAAAACATATATATATTTTTAAGAGGTAGATTTTATTTTATTTTTTTAATATATTTTATTGATTTTACATAGAGAGGAATTGAGAGGGATAGAGAGTTAGAAAGGTCGATGAGAGAGAAACATCAACCAGCTGCCTCTTGCACACCCCCTACTGGGGATTGGCCCACAACCAAGGTACATTCCCTTGATCGGAATTGAACTCGGGACCTTTCAGTCCGCAGGCCGATGCTCTATCCACTGAGCCAAACCTGTTTCGGCAAAAAAAAAATATATTTTTTAAAGATTCACAAAGACAATAAGATAAAAAACATAGGTTATAGTGATGATTGCACAACTCTATTAAAATCATTGAACTGCACACTTTAAACAAGTCAATTTTATGGTATACTAGAGGCCCAGTGCATGAAATTTGTGCACTCAGAGGTGGGGTCCCCCAGCCTGGCCTGCGCCCTCTTGCAGTCTGGGAGCCCTTGGGGGATGTCCAACTGATGGCTTAGGCCCTCTCTCTGCAAGGAGAGTAGGTCCAAGCCAGCAGTCGGACATCCTTAGAGCTGCTGTGGAGGTGGAAGAGGCTCTCACCACTGCTGCTGGGCTCGCCAGCTGTGAGCCCAGCTTCTGGTGCACTGACCACCATGGGGCAGCTGCTGCGTTGAGTATCTGCCCCCTGGTGGTCAGTGATCATAGTGAACAGTTGTTCCATTGTTTAGTCAATTTGCATATTAGGGTTTTATTATATAGTATAAATTCTACTTCAATGAAGAAAAAGGTCCGTTTCTCAGTTTTATATGACTCTTTCTTAAAATGCCCTTCAATACAGGCTGATATCTTTTTTTAAATAAATATTTTATTGACTTCGGAGAGGAAGGGAGAGGGAGAGAGAGAAAGAAACATCAATGATGAGAGAGAATCATTGATCAGCTGCCTCCTGCACACTCCTTACTAGGGATCCAGCCCGCGACCTGAGTATGTGCCCTTGACCAGAATCAAACCTGGGACCCTAATTCTCTATCCACTGAGCCAAACCAGCTACAGCCAGGCCGAGATCTTAATACTCAATGCAAAAAGCAATTCTAGGAGGGCCCTAAACAATGTAATACTAGTACATATTTTGCCACATAGCTTTTAAACTCTAATTAGGCCAACATTTGGTATACAATTTCAGGCAATGCTTTGTTCTCTCTCTTCCTCACACTTGGGCTCGATATACTGTTTGAAGGCACTATGGTCTTCTTGAGAAAGTTTATTTGTTCTATTTGAGGAGATTAGAGGGTGTGACTTTGCTTTAGCACATGCCTACATATGGTTGTCAAATGTAAGTACTTGGTAAGTTGATTCCAAGTTTCCATTTTCACATTGCATTAGGAAGTTAACTTTCCATTCTCCCATTTCTCCTATCTTGTGGATGTATAAAGCCTAAGGCAGGGCAAGCTGTTACTGTTCATTATTCTTCCCTGCCTTCTTTTAAAAGTTGGGATTGGAGGAACTGACAGGGTTCTCCTAATAGAGTCGTTCTTGCTACTATTAAAACATATAACCTTTTCATATTTTAGGGCTTTTACTGTCTTAACAGAAGATGCAATGAAGTTTACCTATTGTTACTAATGGTTTCCTTTTCTCTCACTGAGGGAGTAGAGGGCCTTCTTAGTAATTGAGCTGCTCTCTCACACACAGAATGGAAGTCACACTGTTGGAAATATCAGCCTCTGTTATATCTCCAATCCCAGATGGTATATGAATTGTATCCAGAATTGAATGGTTTTATGCCATTGCCAGCTTAATACTCCACACCTGGACAAGAAATAACCCTTCACTTATAATCCATTTTTCTCTCCTTCCAAATGCCAGTATATTATTTTGTTGTTGTTGTTAAGTAATTTAAAATGACAATTGGACTCCACATATGTTGCTTGAGAACAATAAGTAGTAATTTAGTGTTTTTTTAAATAGGACCCAGCAGCAGCTATTTAATACCATCTGAGCTATTACAAACCCAAGAATGGTTGCAATGTTAAATTATTTGACTCTATGTGAATAGCATCTGGCTACTTAAAATCAGGAAAACGCCCTAGCCAGTTTGGACTGAAAGGTCTTGGGTTTGATTCCAGTCAAGGACACATACCTCGGTTGCAGGCTCAATTCCATGTCTTGGTCAGAGCAAGTGCAAGAGACAACCAATCCATGTGTCTCTCACATGAATGTTTCTCTGCCTCTCTGCTCCCTTCCACTCTTTCTAAAAGTCAGTGTCAAAGTATCCTCAGGTGAGAATTAACAACAAAAAAGTAAATAAACAAATAAAAAAGTAAAAAGCAGGGGGAAAAAATCAGGAAAGCAACATAACTCTTAGTTTCTGTAGTCAGCTTGACTGACCCAATGGGCTTAGTTGTAGATGCCATTAGCTAAAAGGTTCTCATGTTACCTAAAATGTTAGAAACTCTCCTTACATCACATTTCCCCTGCCCCCAATTTAGTTTTTCACAATAATCCTCTTGCTTCTCCAACTAGTTGACTTTTATTATGGGTGAGAATAGACTAAAAGGTGGGACCCTAGGATGTCTGCTGGCAGCATTGCTGCTGGTTTACTCACTTGTTTTCTGTCTTCATTTTTGCATGCCACTGCGCCTGCCTCTTACAGCCACAGTAGAAGCGGTAGAGGCCCAGGAAGGTATGGCCATATTCCTGTGATGGATGTGATCATGTGTCTGTCTGTTGGTTTTTAAAAGTTTTGTCTACATTTGAAATCTTTTATTATTGCATCACCAGAACTGTAACCGTGAGAAAAGGAATAAGTATTTCTAGGCATGCTCACAAAGTGTTACAAATGACCCTCTCCACAGCTAAAGTCCTTTCTGGGCTGTTTTAATACAATGGCTGAAGCATAAGCAACTGGTCAAGTGGGATCAAGTGAGTTAATTCTCTAGCTCTTCCATATACAGTATGAGAGATTACTAGAGATTCAAACAGGTCAACCTCTTTATCCAATGATATCAAGAGCAGAGGCAAGAGTAGACAGGAAGTTAATTTGGTTAATTTTTGAGGTTGCCTTAAGGCAGTCAAGCTAAATTATCTTTGTTTCTATGAAAGCAAACTTGAAGTAACTAATAATCTGCAAATCTGTGGATGAAAACCATTGTAATTCATATTGTTTTATAAATTTGTTTTATTAGGTAAGGTGATTCAAAATGGGAATGGTTTCCTTGACAGTGCAAAAGTTCAATCAAAGAAAATATCTAGAAGCTATTGTTTAGATGGCTTTTCACTTATGTTCAGCTCCTGGTTGTGCAAGATAAAAAGCTGTCTTTATAAACAAAAAGACTGGTTCTTTTACTTTTTTTCTGTGGTCAATGTGATGTTTGTGCTAAAGTAACTGCTCTGTTTAACCTGTTATCCTAGCGTTTCCTTTCTCTCCCATTGAGCACGTTTCTGGTGCATAAGAAACTCTTTCCCAAATGTACTGGGACTAAGGAGGAACTTGTTTCCTTTTTTGTCAGGTATACTTCTGCTATGACTAATTGTATCGAGTTCCTATGAAAATTACTTTCACAGTTCAGCTGCCCTGGGGGCCTTAAGAATTGGTAGCTTTGCCCTAACTGGTTTGGCTCAGTGGATAGAGCATCAGCCTGCGAATTCAAGGGTCCCAGGTTTGATTCCAGTCAAGGGCATGTACCTTGGTTGTGGGCACATCCCCAGTGGGGAGAGTGCAGGAGGCAGCTGATCAATGTTTCTCTCTCTCATCAATGTTTCTAACTCTCTATCCCTCTCCATTCCTCTCTGTAAAAAAATAAAAATAAATAATAAATAAAAAATTAATAAAATATATTTTTAAAAAATAAAGGAATTGGTAGCTTCAAGTCAAAGCTAATTCAAATCAAATAGTGCCTATTATCCTCACCAGCCATGTGCTCCCTGGCCACTCTTCTGTGTTTTTCTCTAGGAGGCTGCTGTGTGCTGAGAAACTTGAAGCTTGTCGCTTTGCTGTCTAATTGAGCTCCTCCCTTTCCTGTTTTTCTGTAGCCATCAAAGGGTTATCGCGTCAGCACAGGATCCGGAGTTTTGAAGAAGCCCGAGGTCTGGACCTAATTAATGAGCGGATGCCACCTCGAAAAGATAGCCACTCGACTTTGGGGACCAGACAATCAGTTGCTTCAAACAGGAGCGAGAAGGGGAAAAAAGCCAGCAATACCTCTGAGCCCTCCTATGACAAAGGTGGACCCAAAACTTAAGAGCAGATTGTATTTATTTATTTATTATTGGAAAACAAAACAAAGCAACTTAAATCTGGAGGTGCATTCATAATATACTCTCTGCATTTATTCTGTAAGAAAGGTGACCATTTTATAAATTCTTCTAACTTATGTCTAACATAAATATAAGCAGTGCATCTGTTTTGTTTTCCCTTTTCTTCTTAATTTTTAAGAAATGATCTGACTGACTGATACATGTGTGAGGTTTTGTACTATCCGGGGCGCCTTCTCCTAATAAAAGGGCCTTGGAAACCTCCACCCTGGGTTTCTGGCTTGAACCAGCCAGACTTCCTCTTGTTCTTTAGAATGTAATGTCTTTCATTGCAGACGAGTAATTTTTCAAACACAAGAAGGTTTTTTTCCTTTCTACATGGTGCCACTGAAGAAGATCTCTTAGATTTCAGGGGCTTAAACTTCTCTTCTTATGGAAAACTTGATTATAGTAGAATTTGTAAGTGAATAACCCAAACCTAGTCATTTTAAGAGCCAAGGGGAATGTTTTCCATAACCCATTTTCTTCTGGACTCTCAATTCCTTGTACTATGTTCTGGTAAGGCAGAATAAAAGGTAATGAGGGGTTTTCTTGGAATTGATTAAAATTTCATGTAGCTCTGGGCATGGCTGGTTTAAACTTCCCTTAAAACGTTGAAGGTTTCTTAAATGTTGCCAGATTCTTTGGCTTTCGTTTTTGGACCCCAGGTGATTTACTCTGTCTACAAAGGAAGCTACATGTCTAAATATTTTATAAATATCCTCTGTACAACCTTCAGAATAAGCACTCGTGCCCTTCCTTCTCTGTATTGCATCAGCGATTACAACATCTATTCTCCCATCGTCCTTTTTTCTGTATCAGCATTTTTTTAATCAACTGAGATAATGAAAACTGACGAGAGTAGAATGATCCCTTATGAATCGGAAGTCTTGCTAAAGGGCATTGGATGAATGAGGAATTTCATATCTTCTATATCAATTACAGGGTGTTTATCTTTCAACACTCATCAGGTTGAACTGTCTGTCAGCATGTTGTAAATATGAAGACAAGTGTTCAGATATAATGTTTGAATAATCTTCCCTTGATTTCTCAAGTCACAACCAACTAGGGAAGAAAACCTCGGGGGTTCTTGGGCTCCCGTGTTTGGTTTTACCTGGTGACAGGTGCTATGTCATAATACTCATTGGACAGCTTTGCAGCAAGGGTGCATATCTGGGCAACACTACACCAAAGTGCATATTCATGAAGTTCCTTCCTATCACGTGGGTATAGGCACCCAGCACAAGAGCACGTATCTCAGGCAGTGATACCTTATGTTGGGAATTTCAAGGACAACAGAAACTTTATCCAAAAAAAACAAAATTTCATTAGAAATATCTCTGTTTTCTATATCTTTTGCTAACAGTTCCCAGTCTGTTTATGACAAAGATCAGAGCATTGAAGGGATTGTCATTTGATGGCATGAATTAGTCTACTTAAACAAATAGGAAGGATCCCCAGCTAGTGTGGTTCAGTGGTTGGAGCATCATCCCATACACTGAGAGGTCACAAGTTCTGTCCAACCGGGGGGGGGGGGGGGGGGGGGGAAGGGGGGGGGCGCGGCGGTGGAGAGGAACCAATTGATGTTTCTCTTCTCCCTCTTCCTCTCTCTGAAATCAATTAAAAGAAAGGCATGTCCTCTGGGGAAGATTGAAAAAATGTATTTAAAAAGAAAAGATAAGAAGGATATTGGGGACAGAGATGAAAGATCTCCTACTGAGTTGCAGTAAAAACTGTGCAAGAACAGAGAAACAATCTTTACTGATTGCCATTTCCTTAACAAATGGAATTCATCACCTGGGTGTCCTCAGACTCTTCTTCTCTCAGTCCCAGTACAGAAAAGACCACTGTTGTGGAAGTCTCACCGAAAGTGGAAGTCCATCCACGTGACACATTTGATAGATGGGGGTCCCTTATCCCTTTCGCCTTTTCACTGAGGTGGTGGTTTTACATACACAACCCACAGGTAGAAATCACTCCATGGGCTTCAATCGCAGGCAAGTAGTGGAATAGTTATTATACATCCATATAAGTAAGAAATAATATTGTGCTAGTAAAAAGGATGATTATTTAGGACCGTCTTTATTATCTTCTCAAAAAGAAGCAGTGCGATCAAGCACGTTTCCTTGACAGAGGCATGGCCAAAGGCTGTACCTTACAGGTGCTCTTTGTTGAAGGATCCACCACAGTAGAGAGGTGAGAAGTCATCATTCAAGAAAATGGAGTTTAAAATACAACAACAACAGCTCTTGAAGTAAGTTAGGTCTGAAAATCCTGTTGGGTTCTAAAGGAAAAGGTATTTCTGATATTCTGTGCAAAGCTGGGGTGTGTGTTTCAATAATTTAAAAAGCTGTGTGTGACGTCTGTAAGGCACAGATAGCTTCTTAAAGTGACACTGTCACTTAGTGTACCTTCATAGGCTGGCACCTCTGACTGAAGACAGGTTAGAAGGCATGAACCTTAAGAATGTATTGAAGCTCTGGGAGGTGGGGGGCTCAGTTGGTTAGAGCATCGTCCCAATAGGCCAGGGTTGTGTATTCGATCCCCAGAAAAACTAGAGCCAGCCAGTGTGGATCTATGGATTGAGCCTTGTCCAATGCACCAAAAGGTCACCAGTTCCATTCCTGGTCAGGGTACATACAAGAATCAACCAATGAATGCATAAATGGGTGGAACAATAATTTGATGTTTCTGTCTTTCTCAAATCAATAAATAATTTTTTTAAAAAAGAATATACTGTAATCACAGTACTCGTTCTTCATTCCATACTTCATTGGAGGGTATCAGCATATTTTTAGACATCCTATCTAGTAAAAGGGTAATATGCAAATTAACCGTCATTCTGTCACAAAGATGGCGGCACCCATAGTCACAAGATGGCGGCACCCAGTCCTCTCAGCCCTGCTAGAGTTCACCAGTCCCTGGAAGGAGGATGGGGGGGGGGGAGGGGCGGCGGCTGCTGAGAGCGGGCAGGGTGAGCAGCCTCCTTGCTTCGTCACCCTGATGACGAGGCAAATGTTCCGTGCCTGGCTGCGGATGCCTCTGGACAAGGGGTATGAGAGCTACCGGCACACGGATATGCATGCAGGGCTATTAGTTTTAATCTAAACAGCAACTCCCAGGATGGCTGATTGTCTGCCCTGAATTTGCCTTAGGACCAACCACTATCTCCAACATGTCCACGAACATTCTAACTGCGGTCAGAGGTCTGAGGATTGATGTTTTCAAAGCCTCTTCTACTCAGTCTGTCCTCTGCATGCTCTAAAGATCCTAAAAATACTTCATTCTTGTTCTCCTTCGCTTTAAGGTCTACAGGGACCTTATTTTCTTCAACTTCTTTTATTAGGGGGGAAAACGAGGGCTTCTTTGTAAACATCAGTGAAATTCCATTTTACACAGGACACTTCTTAAGGACCAGTTTCCCAATTTCATCTACAGCCACGTCATGTGAAATTTCAAATTGATCAGATGGCTATTTTTAAAATAGATATTTTTAAAACTTGCCCTGGCTGCTGTGGTTCAGTGGTTAGAAAGTCAGCCCAAGCACTGAAGAGTCATGGGTTTGATTTCCGATCAAAGACATGTCACATACCAGTGTTACAGGTTCGATCCCCAGCCCCAGCCTGGGCGCATGAGGGAGGCAACCAATTGGTATTTCTCTATCTCCCCCTCCCCCTCCCTTCTACTCTCTAAAATTTAATGGAGAAAATATCCGTGGGTGAGGATTAAAAGAAAAACTATTCATCTAATATCAGTTCAAAACATACATCCTTTTTAAATCTCTGTGCTCTAAATATTTGGAAAAACAACAAATGTATAAGCTATGTGTGTGTGTGTGAGTGTGTGTGTGATAGAATGCTAAAACAAAAGCAGCCTCAGCTTTCTTTAAAATGACAAGGTCACACTAGTTATGGATACAGACACTATTGATTCCGTGGCCTTTTGTGACTAGATATTAATTAGTGAAGTAAAAATTGCTCATCACACTCTGGTGGGCTTGACCTGGCTCCTTGCCTAAGGACAGAACATCAGACTCTCAGGAATATAAATAAATTTCATGTCATTTTACCTATATTATCACTGCCTTTTTGTTCTACAGTTTCTTATATTGATAACTTGGACATAAGTTCAAAATAAGTAAAGGAGCCGAAACCGGTTTGGCTCAGTGGATAGAGCGTCGGCCTGCGGACTGAAAGGTCCCAGGTTCGATTCCAGTTAAGGGCATGTACATTGATTGCGGGCACATCCCCGTTAGGGGGTGTACAGGAGGCAGCTGGTGGATGTTTCTTTCTCATCGACATTTCTAGCTCTCTATCCCTCTCCCTTCCTCTCTGTCAAAAATCAATAAAATATATATATTTTAAAATAAGTAAAGGAAAATTCCTCATTATTTTGTCATAAAATTATATTATTTAATGACAAGGGTAAGATTTCTTCAAACTGGATAACTTTGGGGCCTTTCGAAGTTTGAGGCAGCTGCTCTCTATAAGAAAAATTGTAGTGTGGCCCTATGGATTGAGCCTTGTCCCATGCACCAAGAGGTCACCAGTTCCACTCCTGGTCAGGGCACATGCCCAGGTTGCTGGCTCGATCCTCAGTCGGAGACATGTGGTAGGCAGGGAATTGATGTTTCTGTCTCATCACTGATATTTCTATCTTTTCCTCTCTCTCTCCAAAAATCAATAAAAACACTTTTAAAATATCTCGGACCACGCATGTGTGAGGTACAGCGGGGCCTCCTGCTCTGGCCTCGCAGAGTGACGGTGGCTGAGAATGGTTTCCTCTGCCCTCCTGTTTTATGCCAACATTGTAAACAATAGCCAGATTTTTATTTTTTTTTTTCTGTGCCTTTTCTATAAATAGAATTCTCTCGGTCTTGAGAATTAAGTTCATCCTGAGCAATCTGGGCGACCAGTCAATTCAAATGGTTTTTAGGAAGAGCTTGCCCCAGATTGACTGATTTAGAGTTTTTCCATGTGTTAATTATCAGATCTTTCCCCTTCAGTGTTGGTGCTGAAACTTATTACCAAACCCGTAAAGACTTGTTGATATTCTAGAATCCCCCCATATCATTATAGTTGTTATAGTAACCATGGAACCCACTTCTTTTCTAAGCATTATTCAGTGTCCCCTACCCAGGCAGAAAATATTTCAGAGGGAGGACGAATCCCCTCGTTGTGGGAATGAGGCTGTCGTTTTCTAAATTAGTTGTGATTATAATGATGTACTAGCACTTGGTCCACGTCTTTCCTGCAGTCTGCTAAAAGAGGGAGTAAAGGGCGGCCTGGGGAGCCCCAACACTAGCTGGAGGAGGGTCTGGGTTACTCAGAGGACAGTCGGAAGGCTGTACTGCCTAGTCCCTCTTCAGCACTGCTGTCATCAGGCGCTTGCAGGAAAGCCATAGAAAGAGCAGATGTGTGTAGAGGAAGAACGCTGTGTGGTCAAAAAACAAGGTTGTTACTCTTATCTTGAGTCGAGCAGAGAACTGTGTGAACAGTAGGGCTTTGTGCTTTTGACAGAGTGTGAAAGAGGGAGCCTGACCTGCCTCTGTCTAGTCAGCCGAAGTGAATGGGGTCAGGGTTTGCTGCCTTCATCTATGCAGTCACAAAGGCGAAGATGATCCTGGAGAGTATATTCCCTCCCAGGAGGCCTTGGCCTCACGCCCCAGCAACCTTGCTAAATAACACCTTTGTCTGCGATAGGGTTATGCATCTTCTCTTCTACATCCTCATGACAAGTCTAGGTGGCTTAAGATCAAGAAGTGAGGACATGGCCATCGACCGTCCCTCCAGGCAGCTCTGAAGGAGGGCCATGCACACTGTCTTCCCGTAAGTCCGTGCCCAGACTCCCTTCCCTCCCTTGACTAGCTGTTTCCAGATAACTTTTTTTTTTTTTTTTTTTTTTTTTTTATGTAAAAGTGCAGTGCCTGTAATAGGGAGGAGGCCTACCATAGATCTCAATTTGGGCCAATGAAGATGCATCTTTTGGAAGATGCTTCCATGAGCTCTCACTTTTCCTTTCTCGGTGTGCTGTGACGAATCACTGTTTTTCCTGATAGAAATGTCAGCAGGAATTTTCCAAGGAAAGATCAGGTTTTGCTTCCTAACGAGGTGGTCAGCTGTATGCGGTTAACTGGTGGTGTGCCTTTTCTAAAGGCTTTTCTGGATGATGGGTTATTTCCTTGTTTAGAGATGACTTGCTTTTCAGTTAAGTTAATGGTGGTAATGTTATTTATTGGCAGAAATCATTAACTGTTTCGTGAGCAAGAACATTTGTTAAAACTTTCTTACTGTAAATTGGAAGTCATCT